AACACTGTCGATCTGTTCAGGACATCAACGACTGCCTTACCTCTGCCCTGCAGCTCCACCTGCCACCGCGCGCTGGTAGCACGAGGCTGGCACCCTGGCAGTCGCCGGCCATGCAAGGAGGTATACGAGCCATGTGGACCCACTACCGACAGTGGCGTCAGGCGGCTTGTCGCCAAACCTCCACGATCTGGAGGGCGTGGTTTCACTACGCCAAGTTCCAGAAGGCCCACAGGGACTTTCGTCGTGCTGGCAGGCTTGCCAAACATGCTTGGTACTCTGACAGGCTTCAGGAATTGGGTCTGCATGCTCGTCGACATAATATCCGTGCGCTCTACCAGGGGGTCCAGCAATTGGCACCCAAGAAACGATTTACTCAGGTACAGCTTCGAGCCCCGGATGGGGGTCTCATCTCCCCGGAGCAGCAGGCTCAACTGCTCTCGGCCCACCTTCGCAGTAGCTACACTGGTCAATTCTGCCAGCCTGAACGCGCTGCAACCATGCCCAGTCTTGCTATGGACACTGCTCTGTCTAGTGCACTGGCCAGTCTCTCAGTGCACAAGGCTGTTCCGGAGCATCTGGCCCCCATAGCTGCCTGGCGGCTCTGCTCGGAAGAGGTGATGCCAAAGCTCTCTGAGCTCGTCAATAACCTCACGACCGTCGATGAGCTCTGGCATGCGGCCTGGCTAGCGCTCATCCCTAAAGTCACGAGACCAACTCTTCCGAAGCACCTCAGGCCCATAGGGGTCACGGAAGTCTCAGGTCGAATTGTTTCCAAGATCCTACAGAATCGATTAAGGCCATTCGTCCTTGAATATCTGAAGGACCTACCTCAATTCGCTTATGTTCCGGGCCGAGGCACTCTCGACTCGGTTCTTCGCGTGCAGGCGCACTGTCAGGCTGTGATTGACTCCTGCATGTCCGCGGATTGGACAACTCGCGAGGCAAGAGCTGGCATACCAAAACCACAGGCCACCGCTGGAGGCCTGCAGCTATCACTTGACCTCAGCTCAGCATTTGATCACATGGAATGGGTACACATAGCCACTGCACTTGATGACGCATCAGTACCCAATGAGCTCCAAGCTCACGTTTTGGAATGGTATCGCGATATCAAATATGTCCTTACCGTACAGGGCCAGACTGTAGATATATCTGCTAGTCGAGGCCTGAAACAAGGATGCCTCATTGCTCCGCTTATATGGTCTCTGGTCACTGGTCGCTTCCTCTATGAGCTTGCCCTTTGTGCAGATCCCCTGTGGGTGACGACCGATGTAACGACCTACGCTGATGACTTCCACGCCGGAAGCCAAATCAGTTCATATGCCGAGCTCTGTCGCCTTGAAGTACGCTTAGGTCAACTGCTTGATATACTCTGCATTGCCGGCCTCACGGTGAACGCACAGAAATCTGCGGTCCTCTTCCTCTTCAGGGGCAACTTTGCTTCTAAGATGCTCAAGCAGCATCTGAGAACCACCCCCGACGGACCAGTCATGCGTCTACGCACTCCGACAGGTCGGCTGTTCGAGTTTCCTGTTGTGGAGGTTCACACGTATCTAGGGGTCAGAATCAGCTATAAGAACCCCCGACTTGCCACCCTGCAGCATCGCGTCCAGCTTGTACAAGCCGAATGGTCCCGACTTCGGAAAGTGGTGTGCTCCAAACGCGGCCTCTTCCTTAAGGACCGGATTAACATTTGGCGAGCGAGCATACCACCCATGCTCACTTACGGACTGGCTGCCACGGGTTTGCCAGCAGGTGGTCTTAGCCAACTTCGCACTCTGTACCTTCGACAACTCCGCGCCATCCTCAGATCTCCGGCACACCTCCATCGTGTCAGCAACGAGGACATCCTCCATAAGGCTGGTGTACCTGACGTCGCCGAGATTGTTGAGAGAGACCTGGCCCGATTGCAGGCCAGCCTTCAGCAACTGCAAGTGGTTGACTCCTCTCTCCTTGCACCACACGTGCTGCGCTTCGCTGAGGGCCTTCAACTTTCACTGACTTCGCAACCGCCCCCGCGCGACCACGCGCCAGGCACGCGAGAGTGTGAACCCGAGGCCATTCTAGAATGCCGCTACTGTGGCGAGACCTTCTCAACCTACCATCTTCGGAGAGCCCATGAGGCCAGGAAGCATCAGGTCCGTACACCCAAGCAGGCCGTGCACACATTTGACCGATTCAGGCACAGCATCGATGGTATGCCAACATGTAGCCTATGCAAATACCCGTTCAGGAAGTGGAGCAACCTCCGCAACCACATCGCCAAGGGTCAATGTCCCTTCCTCTGCTCCAGCCAGACCGGGCCCGTTACCACCGGGCCTCAGCTGGAAACCTCCACACTGAGTGGTACGGCCCTCGGCTCTGCACAGGTAACTACTCCACCTCAGCCTAGCACTGCTGCTACTGTTCCAGAGGAACCTGTACTGCCTCTGATTCTCAGGCCGCACATCGTGACCATTCTGCATATGCAACACTGGCATACTTTGCTTGACCTGCCTGAGTTGCAGCATGAGCTCACTCATCACTGCCCCCTGTGTCGACAGTGGTGTGTGGATACCGCAGCAGTGAAGCGCCACATGACTGTCCAACATGCGGAGTGGACTGAGCGGTTTCCCCAGGTAATTGAGCTCCTTAAACCCTTCCGCCGTACCATAGTCTTCCCATGTAGATACTGCAAACAGTCGCAGGTTAACAGGCATACGCACTGGCGATCCTGCATCGTTCTTCAAGTTAGCTGCTTTCTACAGCTAACACTCGGCAGTGGACATGGAGGAGGCCCTGGAGATGACCGCACAGGAGAGACTCTTCTTCGGCGGGGTCTGTCCATCACTTCAGTCCAAGAGAGAACGGGAGGAAGGCCCCTCGGAGAAAAGACCGCGGACTGCAGACGCTCTAGCCTCTTTCCAGTCACAGGCGGCTGCGCAAATGCCGCAGGCGCCAAAGGGCAAAGGGAAAGGCAAGAACAAGGGCAAAGCAGCAGGAAAGGGTCAATGGGGAGGCTGGAATCGCCAGTCAACCACTTGGAACCAGGACCACTGGCCTACGGGCCAGGGAGCGTGGAGCACGCCATGGACTTCGGAATACGGTCTGCCAGATATGGTACAGAAGCCAACCTCCTTGGCGATCAAACACGAATATGCTATCAACAGCATGATGCAGGACCACACGCTTTATCTCTTCGTGAAGCCAGGGGACGAGGGGCTGCTTCCAATTCTGTTTGCCACCTCGGAGAAATGGAATGCCACGCAGCAGACCGATCCGTCTCAAATCACGGAGCCACTACGCCTGGTCATGATGAAGGCATTCCTCATCGAGCTGGGACAGCGTTTGAAGGCCACGAAGGACCAACCGGAATCCATGCAGAAGGCCAAGGAACTGGGCTGGCTAACGGAGCAAGGCCAGTGGAAGACTCTGGTCTGGGATCCGACGGCACAAGATCTACGCGAGAAACAGGGAGGCAAACTGCACGTGACAGACGACCTGATTGGCCAATCAGTGGAACTTCGCAAGCTCATCACGGACGAGACCCTGTTTCGGTTTCAGTCCCTTCGGGGACTGAGCCGGGCTCCGCAGACAGCATGGGTACAGCTGGCGATCGAGGTCAGTGTCCGGGACATGGGGAATCGCGTGTGGGAAATCCTTCATTCCTGGATAGGCTGCGCAGCTTTGCACACCATGGGATGCCGTCTTCGACGAGAGCGCGGCGGACTGTCACAACAGGCCAGAACCCTTCGCGGGTGGTGACCAGGCCTGGACGTGTTCCGCTTGCACCTAACTCTAAAAATCCCCCTAATGCTGCCGCCCCGACACCACCCTGTAGCCTGTCCAGCTGGCATGTTCGCGATGACATTCCAGGCCTGCTTCAGATCCTACAGTGCCTTCTATGGCCGCTCTGGTGCGACGACGCCAGGTCCCGACACGTGCATGGGTTGCTTAAACATCTTTGGCATAGAATCCGCACAACGCCTGACACACCGATCTCCCTCAAAGGTGATCTACTTTGGTCTGCTGTCGCGGGGGGAATACCATCCATGGTACAGGCCCCACACTTGTGTGCACAACTCCAATACCTGCTACAACACCTTGCCCCTGAAGATATGTCAGGACCGTGGGAATGGTGTACAACCGGGGAAACTGCTGCACCTGCTTCCGAGCAGGCCACCCTGACGATTCCCATGCCAATGCACCTGCCCTTGCAGCCTGTATCCATCGCAGGTGGCTTATGGGGATGGGGAGATTCTGCTCTCAGGCCGAGGCTTCGAGCTGCACCACCCACCTTGTATATGTACGTGCATAACCATCGTGCAGGTCTAAAACAGGTCGATGGACCACATCCTTCATGCACATGGCTGGCTGCTGCTGAGGAGGCATGTCCGCTCACCATTGAGCCTGATGCCGGTCCTCCATACCAATGCCTGTATGAGGTACGCTCTATCGTCCTGCATCGGCTCTCTGGGGACCCATGCAGCTACCACGCAACGCATCGAAAACTGTGCGAAGATGTGCTGACACCTTTTGCACCAGCACTTACCGAAGCTGATCTGCGTGATATGTGGCCATGCATCTTTGTGCTACGGCGACGCTTTGGCCAGGTACCAACTGGCTGATTGACTGTGGTGACTCCTTTTAGTTAACGTTTTCCAGCATGTGCAATCGACACTTGCTGTAGTTGCGTCTGGCAGTTGCTGCGGCCCATGGGCACAGCATCGAGCTCCTCGGAGAGCTCCGGCATAAGACCGTGCTTCTCGCTAGGTGGATTGCATCCGCTGCGTGGGGAATGAATACTACTACTGTTACTACTACTGTTACTACTACTACTACTACGACGACTACTACTACTACTACACTACTACTACTACTACTACTACTACTACCTCTACTACTACTACTACTACTACTACTACTACTACTACTACTACTACTACTACTACTACTACTACTTACTTCTCCTGCTGCTGCCGTCACTGCATGGGAAAACCCAGTGCTATCAACATGCTGAGGTTGGAGGTGGCTCCGCGACGAGGACTCCGACTGTCGAGTGACCGGGTTCATTGCTGCTTTACAGTTGCACATGGTGCTGCTTCAAGATGATGATGATAGTGATGATGCCGACTATTGTTTGAACGTTGAACTGTGGCTGGCACAGGTGGTGACAGTGCCGGTGATAGTGGTACTGGCAGTGGTAAGGGTATTGGTAGCAGTAGTCGTCGTAGTAGGAGTCGTGGTAGTAGTAGTGGGAGTTGTTGTCGTTGCTGCTTAGGAGCAGGAGTAGTATCGGCAGTTGTAGTACCAGCACCAGAAGTAGTAGTGGTCGTAGTAGCAGTAGCCGTAGCAGCAGCAAGAGTAGCAGTACTAGTAGTAGGAGAAAGATGTAGTGTGTACTAGTAGTACTAGTACCCGTACAGTAGTCGCAGTAGCAGTAGTAGTAGTAGTAGTAGTAGTAGTAGTAGCAGTCACGAAAGCTAGCTCTTTGGAGCTTGCGGGAGTTGTCGTTCACAATTGTTTCCTAGATAGTTCAATGGGTGCAACGAATTCAAATCAAGGGATTAAGCGTCGGGGGGAGGGGTGGGGGAGCCACCAACCCCCCTCCTGTTTGCTTGATTAAGGTGTCCCCCCCGCGCCCCCTGATTGATTTAAGGGTCCCCCCCGCCCTCTCTAGCAGGACCCCCTCTCCCCCCTTTTTTGAAGGGCATGCTTGCGAGCATAGCCGCTTGTAGAGTTTCGATTTGCCGTTACTCATAGCCGTTTGTAGAGTTTAGAGTTGTTGCCACTTATCACAAGCCTCCGCCGTCCTGCTTCTAGCTTTCGTAGCCCTGCTCTCAAGTAGTAGTAGTGGTAGTAGTAGTAGTAGCAGTAGTAGTAGTTGTTGTAGGAGTAGGAGTAGTAGTAGTAGTAGTAGTAGCAGCAGCAGTAGTAGTAGTAGTAGCAGTAGCAGTAGTAGTAGCAGTTGTTGTAGTTGTACTTGTAGTAGTGGTCGTCGTCGTGGTGGCGGTAGTGGTAGTGGCCAGTGCCAGTGATAGTGTTAGTGGTAGTGGTAGTGGTAGTGGTGCGCGCAGTGCACATTTGATGTCGCATTTTCGTGGCTGTCGGCAAGAGTTTTCATCGATGTTTACGGTGATTTCACATAACCAGGTCCAGGAATCAGGAAGGTCATTGCAGTCCCTGCTCAGAAAAGGTTTTCCGAGTTTACATGGAAAGTCAGCGTATATAAATGTGTATATGTATATAGGCACCTTTTTCATAAATGCGAAACTACTGTCACCATCAGCATCTATTGTAGCGTAATGAAGGTTTCGATTTGCATGATGAAAAGGAAAGAAGCAGCTTGTCTTTGGTGCTGCGTTGCTTCATCTCGACCAGAACAATGCCTTGTGCAGCGCAGTGATTGCACTTGCCTGGAGGATTACTACATCCACGGGCAACATGTGCTACCAGATCCTGCCAGCTCGCCTTTGCACACCCCACTAGCCGCTGAACGTTCAGCATGTCATCCCGCTCCAGACCTGTATCTATCTATATCTGTATCTACATCTATATCTATATTTATGTATGTATATATATATATATATAAATATATATATATATATATATATATATATATACATATATATACATATGCGCACCACGCATACCACGACGAGCCACCATACATTGCCCTTGCTTCCGCGGTGCTTCTTGTCCTTGTGCTGATCCCGGGCGCACACACGTTTCTTTTCCAAGATCACGCCTGGCTTGAGCTGCTTCACCTGCGCCTGCAGCCTCCGGATGAGCTTCGCGAAGAGCAAACGTGCATTTGCTTCCTGCCATTGCGGCCAGGGACAAGTGGACGACGGTTGCTCGAACACTAGTGCTACCCAGATCTTCTGTCTTCATGTACGGCATTGCGGCCCACCATGCCGCACCCCGCACAACCAAAGCAACTAGGCAGAAAGAAGCGTGCATGACTGGTTCTGCATCGGGAAGGTCGTAAACAGAAAAGCTGCCTGGATGTTACATGGTCTGAAACATGGCACGAAAGGACAGCCGACACATGTGCAAAATGCGTGAGATGGCTACAGACAAGTTCTGAGGGCTAGCGAATTTGGTGTCAAGTGAACTGAGGGGTGCATGCATGTTGGCGTTGATGCCGAGCCGTGAAGGCAAAGACGGTGGCTTGACCTACCACGGGGGGTTGCACTTGAGTACACTTTGTAAGACCGCCGTAAGCAGTTGCGTTGAACGGACTCCCCAGCGCCAAAACGCTGCCAACAGTCCTCAGCGTTGTACAGACTCATGTGAGCAACCAACAGACCCTGCATCGTAGGTTCGTTCTAGCCAGGCGGGAGGCCAAAACAAGCGGCAAAGTCTACCTTCCAGGCGTCTCCAGAAGTTGTGCAAAAATGAACGAAAACCACACCTGTAAGGGCCGTAAGTAAGCAAGGGTATGGCGCCAATTAGGGAACAGTCGCTAGTAGTAGTAGTAGTAGTCGTCGTCGTCGTCGTAGCAGTCGTAGCAGCAGCAGCAGCAGCAGCAGCAGCAGCAGCAGCAGTAGTAGTAGTAGTAGTAGTAGTAGTAGTTAGTAGTAGTAGTAGTAGTAGTAGTAGTAATAGTAGTAGTAGTAGTAGTAGTAGTAGTAGTAGTAGTAGTAGTCGGAGTACTAGTGCCAGTACCAGTACTAGTACCAGTACCAGCACCAGTACCAGCACCAGTACCAGTTCTAGTACTAGTAGTACTCGTGGCATTCCTGGTGCCCGTGATAGTGGTGGTACTCGTGGTAGTAGTAGTAGTAGTAGTAGTAGTAGTAGTAGCAGCAGCTTGCTGCGGCAATTGGGGTCCAGTCGTGTTTCCAAAAATCTTGGTCATCTTGGTGGGGGGCGCGCCAGACCAAAATCTTGCTAATCTCGCTCCTCTTGTTTGGCCAGACGGGGGAGGAAATCACCAGCAGTTTTACCCAACTTGCAATCTTCATCATCTTGGTTTTGGAGTATTTGCTAAGCACGGGGAGGGGGAGTGCAATCTTGTACCACTTGCGAGGGTGTAGGGGTTTAAGGTTTAGGGCACCACTTTGACGTCCAGCGCACACATATGATGATTCATGAACAGTTCGGAAAGGTTGTTTTGTTCAACATAGTTTCAGATGCCGTTGATCGGCGGATGCGAAGGCTGGCTCCGCAGTAAAGCTGCCAGAGCTGCTTGTGTCTAACTCCGGGCGAAGTCGAAGCCTGTTGCAAAAGGGCAAGTGGTGCAAGTAGTATAGATGCACCAAGTCTACGAGATCGTCCGACCAAACCCCCGCTCTGCCGTTAGCAATGCCCGACCAAGTTTCCAAGTTTGCGCCTGCGCGAGCAAACTTGCACGCCCTCCCCTCCTCCCCACCGCCTCGGCATTTGAACCAAACCAAGCTGTCCAAGATTGTAACCCAATCCTGACCCCGTTAGTAGCTCTGGTTTGCCGGCATGCTAGCAGTAGTAGCAGCAGCAGTGGCAGCAGTAGTAAAAGTAGTCGTGGTTGTGGTAGGAGGAGGAGGAGGAGGAAGAGCAATGGCAGCAGCAGTCGTCGTCGTGGTGGCGGTGGTTAGTAGAGGTCGTTGTTGTCGTCGTCGTCGTTGCTGTTATCGTTTATTTGGGCGTGTGTGGTTGTTTTTGTTCGTTTGTATTTAACGGCAAGTCTGTCTGTCTAGGCTTATGTCATAACGAGAACAGAGTTTGCTTCTCGTTGTGCCGCACACCTCGCCTGACTTCGCTCCAGAGCGAGTGCCAGAAAATCTGTCTTTTCTGTTTGTTTGTTTGTTTGTCGGTCTGTCTGTCTGTCTGTCTGTCCTGTGTTGCTTCTTCTTGTTGTCATTGTTATTGATATTGTTGGCTGTATTTTTACTAGTTCTTGATATCAGTTGTCACTGTTGAATTTCGCTGCTGAGACGACTTCATCGATGAGTCTGCCCCCCTCCCAAACCCCACAATCTGAACATCAAATCACCCGGGTTGTCAAAAGCGAAAACACATAATAGCACGTATGAGGGATGATTAGGAGCCACTGGAAAAGGAAGGGTATCCTAGTGAGAGGACTTGTTAGGCTTGGATTTCGGGCAGGTTCACTCATAATGCCTTGGTTCGGAAGGACGGTCCCGCAGTACGATCAATCTCGGGTTGCATGTTTCTGGGCTCTGTTAGCCTCCGGCCTCAAAAAACCCTACCATTGAAAGGGGAAGTGCTGGGCCCGGAAAACAGGCCTAGCGGAGTAGTTGCTGTGTTCCAGCCCCCACTATCAAGCGGGGCAGGAGTGAGGGGGGTGGCTGCTCCGTCCCGGAACGGCTGTGCAGGGCTGGCGCACCGTTCACCCTCACCGAGCTAGCCGTGTCGCACAACCCCATTCGGACCTGCCTCTCAGCGGCACGAAAAGATTTGGATGTGGTGGTGGCGGTAGTGCTGGTGGTGCTGGTGGTGGTGGTTCGTTCGTTTCAAGCCTTGCGTACAGGTTGTGTCAGGACACACGGGAACCAGACAAAGCTACCACCGCCCCGAAGAGCCTGTAAGCATGGTAGCCTGAGAATGTACAAAGTAAGTCGCGGTGAGCGCCACGGTGCAAGCAGAAAAAGGAGAAAGCACCTTTCGGCGAGCTGTAGGGAGTAATGCTGAGGAGAAGGTTAAGTGACGTGTGTCACACACACGCGTGTGGACAGACAGTCACCTCATTCTCCCCATCAGCATGACTCCTCCATGGACCGGGCAGTAGTAGTAGTAGTCGTCGTCGTAGTAGTCGCAGTAGTCGTAGTAGTAGTCGTCGTAGTAGTAGTAGTAGTAGTGGTGGTGGTGGTGGTGGTGGTGGTGCCGGTGGTGGTGCCAGTGGTAGCGGTAGTAGTTCTGACTGCATTCCAGCGCTGGCTTCCTGCCAAGACTGCGCCATGCTGGTGGCAAAACCGGTGCTTAGCTTCACCATGGCTTTGGCACCCAGTTATGGGACTCGTGGCGCAGTAGTGTAACGCCCTCGGGGCACCCTCAAGAGCACAAATACGTCAACACGATGTTGTGCCAGCATGATCCGAATCAAATTAATTCAGCAGGGAGCGTCTCTGAGGTTGTGAACCCCTGAGCTTGAAAGTTAAAACTCTTGAAGCTGGATCATTCGAGGTGCTCGGTATTTTTCCTTGATCTTGGCAAGCTCCTCACCCACTTCATTCTTCTCGCTTTTCACATGGTCAGCACATGGTCCATATCTTCCGTGCTACGCGTTTGGGCCACTCGTGGTGGCAGAGAGCAGCTTCACACGCGCTGTCAATAGACCCAAGCTGCAGCCCAGCATTCATATCATCTTCGTGCAGCGTACCTATGTCTGCCCCTGGCAATGCCGTAGTTATGCTGCTTCCAGCAGAGTGATTAGCAGAAGTGTCGCGGAAGACTACCATGACTACGCAACACTACCAGACTACCAATGCAGCTGCGACTGCAACGAGCAGCAGTAGTGGCGGTGGCGGTTGTGGTGAGTACTAGCAATAGCAGCAGCAGCAGCAGCAGTAGCAGAAGTAGTAGTACTAGTAGTAGTACTAGTAGTAGTAGTAGTAGTAGTAGTAGTAGTAGTAGAAGTAGTAGAAGTAGTAGTAGTAGTAGTAGCAGCAGCAGCAGTAGCAGTAGCAGTAGCAGTAGCAGTAGCAGCAACAATAGCAGTGGCAGTAGTAGTAGTAGTAGTAGTAGTCGTAGTAGTAGTAGTAGCAGTAGTAGTAGTAGTAGTAGTTGCAGCTGTAGGAGGTTCAAAGTAAGTTCACGATTGCAAAGTTGGAGCCAGAAATGCCAAGAAACTGCTCAGTGGTGCCACGTGCAAGAAATAGTGTGCAAATTCAAGCTGATTCGTGTGAATTAAATCAAAAGACTACGAAGCGAAGAAAAACGACCGCAGACTTGCCACATGAAAAAGCTTAGACCTCGGTTGCAAGCCGTCTACCAGTACTTATGGCTTGAAGAGCTTCCGTGACATTACGCCTAGTAGTAACAGTTGTTGTTTTCCTCGTCGTCGTAGTAGTAGTAGTAGTAGCAGCAGTAGCAGTAGCAGTAGCAGTAGCAGTAGCAGTAGCAGTAGCAGTAGCAGTAGCAGTAGCAGTAGCAGTAGCAGTAGCAGTAGCAGTAGCAGTAGCAGTAGTAGTAGTAGTAGTAGTAGTAGTAGTAGTAGTAGTAGTAGTAGTAGTGCTACTACTAGTAAGTAGTAGCAGTAGTGGTAGTTGTTGTTGCACTTGAAGTTGTAGTTGTTGTTGTTGTTTACCAGCAGAGTACCTGTACCAGTATCACTATTGTCGTAGTAGTACTACCAGTACTTTTACAAGTACCATTGTTATGGTGGTAATCGTCGTCCTCGGTGGTCGTCGTGGTTACCGTCGTCGCGTTGGCAGCTGCAGTTGTAATTGTGGTGCTAGTGACGCGAATTGAACCATTGGTCTCACCACGGGCACGAGTATGAGCATTTTGTTCTTTCGGACCGTTATGGACCGGACCTGTGGAAACTAGGATGCAGACATGCTGCCGCCGAGCGCTCGGCGGTTGGAGGCTGTGATGTGGTGGAGACCATGCTTCTTCAAGCAGGTCGGTTTGCAGTGCATCAGTGCACGCATAGCGCAGGCAGATCCGACAGCATACTATCAAGCCCGGGCCTCGAGCTGGCCAAGTTTCCAATGAGAGGTCGGTAGTTATGGCGATAGCAGTCACCAAGGCCGCAAGAAGCGCAAAAGGATCGTTGCCAGCACGGGCAGTGTCCAGGCGCCTGTTTTGTCAGTCCGTGTCGGATCTTGAGCTTCGACGCTATAGCGTCAACCCAGAGCAGGCTTTGGTCAGTAGACGCGGCATTGGAGACCGATGCGCTTTGGCCTCTCTGCGCAGAGCGTGGGAAGCCCAAAGTCGCAGTCACAGGCAATGCAGACACATCGAGTTAGGCAGGTTCTTGGACGTGGCGTCACAGATCACAGTGTTTCATCATCTTTCGGAAGATCTCAAACTACGCCCGGGTATGTGTTTTTCGCTCCAGTGCACAGCCGGCGGGAACCAACATCATTTGCACCTGGATGCTTGGCTCTGTCCTGTGATTGCTTGCCGCCTCGGCTTTCCATCCGAGGCGATGGTTCTTAAAATTGTTTTACTGTACATGACGTTGCATGACCCTCCTCCACATGATCCGCACCTCGTGGCTCAGCTTCAGCCGAGCACGACACTCAACTGTTCAGAGTCGGTGCACCCTGTTGATGAGAGGTGTGTGTGTGTGTGTGTGCGCGCGTTCAACGCCCGCCCCACAGCGATGATCTGAGGGTTTTTCGAAAATTAGATAAGGATCCTAGTATTTAGGGTGCTAGAAAGGGTCCCCCATTTTTGGCAAACTCCCATCTCTGTGCGGCCGTGGTGTGGTCGAGTCGTGAAGTTCGGTTCGGGCGCTTGCAGGAGTTTTTCCCACGCCTCACTTCACAGTCGCAATCACTCGCACGACGTTGCGACGGAAAAGTCCGATGTTTTTCATGCCGAAAAGTCACAATGTCTTTTTAGAGCAGATCATACATCCTTCTTTCTTGGCAATATGCAGTGTTCCTCGTAACTGTCCGGTCTCGTGTTCTCCACCGGCCTGAGAAATCACAAAGCATTTCAAAATTTCGTTGAAAATGCGCAATGATGAACAGCATTCCAAGGGTTATGTATAAGTTATAAGATGTTCAGGTAAAACATCTTCGCCTGGTATCACCTGTCACGTACACAGTCAATCTGCAGATGCAGCCCAGGCCTCCAGCTTGCCCAGCGGCTGCAGTGCCAGAAAGGCTTGCGCCGACGGAGCGATCGCTATATTCGTGAGGCTGCTTGGGGCCAGGGCCAAGAGGGGGGCCGTGGTTATGATGCAGGTCAGACTCTATCTTGCAAGCAACACCGGCCGCCCTTGAAATAGTCCGCTTGTTTTGCAGGTTCTGACGCCACTCACCGACCAATCAGTTCTCTCGGCTGCGTGGACCGTGCGGAGCACAGCATGCGCAGGGTTTGCATAAGCCGATAGCGTGACATCAAAGATCATTTCCTTTGGCCTTTATCGGCCTGGCCCACAGGTCAATAGCATCATTTCTCTGGCCCGTGCAAGAGATCACACCACGTTTAACACGCGGAAGCAAATCCCTTGAGGCGCGGCAGCCAAAGCCGGAACGAACCAAGCTGTTCATCTTGCCGGGAGGCTGAAGCATCAGCCGTAAGTATTTTGGCTTGGAAGATGGCCGACCCTTTGCAGCTGCAGCATGAGAAGATGACATGCACTGGCTCGGAAGCGCTCTGCGCATTGAGCAACTATGTCATCAGCTTGTCCCTCGGAGGCTGTCCAAGCTTCCAGGGACTGCGCAGCTTTGGGTTGCTCCTAGGTCCTAGGTCCCAGCAGTCCTAGCAGCTTCCGGCAGCCTCTTCTGCTAAAGACCACTCATTCCCTCACGGAAGGCCTCACAGGGGTCAAGGCAGCTATTCCGATGCTGCTAGTGGCCATCGGCGATTTGCCAGCACAGAGGCGAGGGGATGAAGGGGCCGTGAAAGGTTTCAAAGTTCTTCTTCATTTGTGGGAGCCGGGCCAAGACTTGTCGGTGATCGGTGATCTTGCACTCTGAGGCTCCAAGCTGAGCGACCGATTTCCACTGCACTTGGAAGACACCTGGTTGGACAGCTGGATTTGCATCGTGGTGCTTGGCCTTTTGCTGATTCTGGAGCTGGTGTCTGACTGCATTCCAGCGCTGGCTTCCTGCCAAGACTGCGCCATGCTGGTGGCAAAACCGGTGCTTAGCTTCACCATGGCTTTGGCACCCAGTTATGGGACTCGTGGCGCAGTAGTGTAACGCCCTCGGGGCACCCTCAAGAGCATAAATACATCAGCACGATGTTGTGCCAGCATGATCCGAATCAAACTAATTCAGCAGGGAGCGTCTCTGAGGTTGCGAACCCCTGAGCTTGAAAGTTAAAACTCTTGAAGCTGAATCATTCGAGGTGCTCGGTATTTTTCCTTGATCTTGGCAAGCTCCTCATCCAGGTCATTCTTATCGCTTTCCTAATTCATGCTATGTCACATGGTCAGCACATGGTCCATATCTTCCGTGCTACGCGTTTGGGCCACTCGTGGTGGCAGAGAGCAGCTTCACACGCGCTGTCAATAGACCCAAGCTGCAGCCCGGCATTCATATCATCTTCGTGCAGCGTAGCTGTGTCTGCCACTGGCAATGCCGTAGTTATGCTGCTTCCAGCATAGTGATTAGCAGAAGACTACCATGACTACGACACACTACCAATGCAACTGCGACTGCAACGAGCAGCAGTAGTGGCGGTGGCGGTGTTGCGGTGAGTACTAGCAATAGCAGCAGCAGCAGCAGCAGCAGCAGCAGCTCGGTATTTACGGTACTTTCGTGATGTCAAACTTTGTTACATATTCTGAGCCCCTACTTCTCGACTATGCGTATTAAACTTTGCTGTTTCGAACTGTTTGCCACAAAACTCGAAATTGGGCGGGGGAAAGCTTCTTCGGGATGATCACGACACTGTTTTGCGGACACTCTGAACGATATTTCCACACTCAAGCGCGCACACACCACACACACACACACACACCACTTCAAGAACAGACCCTCCTACGCCGAGGTTGGGCGGTAGGGGTGTTGGCGAGCCCCTCCCACGTAGAGCTGGCATCTTTGTTTTTGATGTTGAGAAGATGTTGCTCTTCAGGTTTTAGAAATGTTAAACCCTTCTTGGCAGAGGACCTGGGTTTTGCACGGTATTTACAGGGTTTTCGTACTATCCGACCACCTGCGGTTTAGCAGTTTCTGCCCCGTCGAGCTTGCAACTCCAGCTGCTGTCGCAGTTTTGGGGCCTGAGCCCCTGCAACTTCACCGGCTGTGACAGTTAAGGAAATTGTTAAATTGAGCCTCTGCAACTTCTGCAGCTGTCACAGATAGGGAGCCTGAGCCCGTGCATCTTCTGCAACTGTCGCAGTTAAGGACCTAGCAGCTACCGCTGCCCAGCCCGGATGGAACAAGTGTAGTTGGGAGGAGGAGGGGGGGGTGGCTGGTGGTAGTAGTCGTCGTCGTTGTCGTCGTAGCAGTAGTACGAGGAGGAGGAGGCGGAGGAGTAGTAGTAGTAGTTGTAGGAGCAGCAGCAGCAGCAGCAGCAGTAGTCTGGCAGTTGTTGCAGCAGCAGTAGCAGCTAGCAGCAGCCGTAGCAGTAGCAGTCGCAGTAGCAGCAGCAGCAGCAGCAGGAGTCGTAGTAGGAATAGTAGTAGTAGCAGTAGCAGTGATAGCAGTCGTGGTGCGGTGGTAGTAATAAACCACAGCAGCAGAATTGAACGCAAAGTGCGATAACTACAGACGTACATATTGCAGATTGATGATGAAGATGAAGGATGATACAGCCACTTGCAGCAATGCAAGTGGGTGTCCTGACCAAGGAGCCAGTATGGCATCAGCTCGGCCACAGGCTGGCTGGCTGCATTTTCTGCTGGTGGTCTGGCATTGGTGGTGGCTGTCATCAAGGCACAGCGTGACGTAGCATTCTATCGATCTGGAGATGTACTTTTGCAGACCTGCCGTGCTCAGGCGGCTTGGACTTTGGCTTGTGACAGCTGCTCGGGTGGTTGTTGCAGCGGCATGGCTGCCTTAGGCCTTGGCCCCTAGGCAGGCCCTAGGCCTCCCAAGAATCTTGAAGATGGCCTTGACTCCTGTGCCGGCTGCTGGGAGCGCCAAAGCCAGGTCAAGTCCGTAGTGCTGTCGAGCATGCGCTGACCAGTGGCTGGCTCAGCAGAGGGAGCCATCTTGCACGCAGCTTCCAGAAAACTGTGACGGCACATTTCCGGCCTCCTGACCTGAACCCAGGCATTCTCACCTTGTTCGTGTTCTTCGTGGGGGTCATAGCGGCTGGCGTGGTCGTTGCAGGCTTTGCTACTCTCATTGGCTATTACGTCGCTGCATCTCCGGCTTGATTCAGGCTGCCCACCCAACACGCTTGGGCACTATCGAGGGGCACACTTACACTCCCAACTCTCTTCAGAGCTCACTAAGGTACGGCGGCGCCAAGGAATGCCAATGTTACCGCAAGAAGTCGTGACAAAGGCTCCAGACTGTTGTGGTGACAATGCAGACTCTGGCACTGATTCGGGGTCAGCCGAAGATGACGATGGGCTGAGTGCAAGAGCTTAAAAGAGTGGCGTGCTCGATGAAGGTTCCGGGAAATTCTTCCACGCATATCAGGCTGCAGCAGCCTTCTCTCCTCCCATCTTCGGCGGCCAATACCAAACCAATTCGAAACCTGAATTCACTGAAGACCCGCTCATGGCCGTTAGGGGTAGGCGAATGGAGTTCCGGAGAAGAATGCCCGTTTTCGGAATCGTCATGAGAATGCCTAGGATGGCTCGAGCAGGGCAGCCTTGGATCAGGCCCAGCTCTCGTGGACATTTGCTGTAGAGCAGTTGGGTGAGTTGCATTGTAATCTTTGTCCCGAAGCATGGTTTGTTGGGCTGGAAGCTTGTCCCCGAGCAATGCAGGCAAGGCGACTGGTGACCGGTTGCGCCGGGGCATGGATGGCAGCATCCCGCTCAGCATGCTTTGTGCATGTCCGAGCGCTTGCAGCTGCAACCCGAAGCGACCATGATGGCCGATGGCAAAGTTGCAAGATGCTGAAAGGCTTGTTGAGTCTAAGATTTCAGAAAGTATTTGGGTCTCTGGGTTGTTCGATCAACAAACTGCAAAGCTTGCTCGATGTATAACAATCTGTTGTGTGTTTCTTATTAAGCTACTCACAACTGGCAGCACCACTTCAACAACGGGACTTTTTGTCTGACTCACCCCGAAGTACATAATTGCCGGTGCAACTGGCATGTATCGCGACTTCCCAGGCTACGAAGCAGGCCGCAGATGCGGCCCTCTGGAAGCCAGCTTGGCTGCAGCCTCGGCATTGAAGGTGGGATGGAGAGGGCAGATCGGTCGATATTCTCTGTCTGTCCTTCTGACAAGAAACAGAGGCAGCATGCGCGTATGCGATTGTAGGAGCACACGTAGAAATAAAAGCACCCAGAGAGAGACAGAGAGAGAGGCTACACGACCACGCCGGAGCTTGCAACACCAAGCCCAACTGAGCGAAGAAGAGCAACCGAGCCTAGATGCCGGGGCCACGCACCGCAGAAGACGGATGCACGCCTTGTTCGACCCCAACTACACGGGGAGTACACCTCTGCTAGCAGCCAGCACGTGCACCCATGCCTCTATCTTTTACTGCGTGCTAGGAGGGACCTTGTCTCGCTGCATGTAGCTGAGCTGCCGGGGTTTTTTCAAAGTTCGACACACACACCTCCACCTGCATCCACCAACGGGGCTTCCGGCACAGTGTGTGGTGTTCCCCTATGGCGACTTAACCCCCCCCCCCCCCCCTTGCTTCCCTGCCTGGTCGTGCCGGAGCCCCACCACAACAACACCACCACCACCAGTGCGGGGGCCCAAGTTGTGACGTTCCCCTAGTTCGCTCGTATCCTCAGCCCGCTTGCTTTCCCCCTGGGACCCGCACTGGCACATGCAACGTAGCAACACCAAACCAGTACCTAGCCTAGAACAGAACACGGTACGGGGACCACCAGCGACTTAAACTAGATCACCACATCGCGGTTGGCCCGGTCAGGGCCTGTAACAGTGGTTTTCGAGCAGGGGACCCCAATATGAGCAAAACGTGCTCATTCGCGACCGTGAAATGCACGGATAAAGGCACGGAGACTCGCGAGCTGACCAAGGCGCGGGCAATGGGGGGACTCGGGTAGGGCTTTGCATAATGGTAAAGCGCCCACTCAGCTCGTGAGTCAACAGCGGCCTGTTTCACACCGGACACAGACTACAGGCGTTGCGCTCGCGCGCGGGGGTTGTGGGGTCCTTCCCCATACCCCAAACGCCCTGCAAGCAAGCAAGCAAGCAAGCAAGAGAGAGAGGCTCAAGTGCTGCACATTTGCTGGCCTGTTCCGCCTCCCTGCATCGGGGGGGAGGCACGGGGCTGCCTTGAGGCTGTGCCCTCGGGGGAGCTCCCGTTGCCTTTCCCAGCGGTGCTTGAGCAAGCGTTCTGCTGCCACTTTGCTTTTAACCGATAGGTGTGGCCAGCCATACTTGTGACGGTCAAGTTTGCAGAACTACAGCCGTGAGGGGGACCTAATTCTTGCAAGAACTCGCTTTTTGACCTTTTGGATCGGGTGGACACCGACTTTTTCGCCAACCGCCTTGACCCAGCGGGGACCAAGCTTCGCAGCAGCTACGACAGCGCTGGAGGGGGGACTTTGGCAACCCTAAGTTCGTGACTGTGGCAGGAAGGGCGACGTCGAGAACAACGCACCACACCACGATGGCAGCCCGAAGGGGGCAAGAGTGCAAACTATGCCGGTATGGGGAGGAGTCTGCCAGACAGGCTTCCGAAAGGTCCACACACGAGAAGGCCTGCACTGCAGACTCCATGCAGTTACTCAAAGGAATGTTAGGCCGATGCTGCTTCACCCAGTCACGCTTGCAACAGCCAAGCCTAATCGGACGGGTCACGGAGCCACGAATCACCACACTTGTCTGGGGCGCACTTCGCCCCTCTCTAACTGCACTACGGTCGCACACTCGTCTTTAATGGGAATATTTGACCAATTCATTCCTGCTCTTGACTGAGGGCGCAACTTGAACTGTTCTCCACTACCACAAAACTTTCGATGTTGCTGACAAGATGGGGAACCCGCGTGCAGTCGTGACCTGTACGGTTTTGTGTTCTTGTGTTGCTTCAGCTACCAAGGCGGGGAAACTTTTATTCCCCGCTGTTTTTGCAGGGGAACGTGACTGGTGAGGGGCGAAGGGTTGGGCTATAGAGAGCGCGGTGATGAGGCCGGGACGCGGGATTAAGTTCGGGGAGGGTTGTTTCATTACCAGGCACACACTACCTGCTGTACCAAACGACGGGGGACAAGACCCTACCTTCGAGCACCCGAAAGCCTCTTCCACCGCACAGACGGGGAAGGGGACGGCTGGGCGCGGGTTCGCACTGCGAACTCTTCCCCTGTGAAGTAAAGTGGAGAGAGAGAGAGAGAGAGAAAGAGAGAGACAGAGAGAGAGTAGCCATTTTGGCTGAAGGTGCTCTACATCGTCTTCGCCAACTTCGACGTCCCCGCACTCTCGAGGGGGAAGGTGCGGCAGTGAAGCCCCTCTCTTCCTGTGCCGTGGGGAGAGGTGGATCTGCCCCCTTCTCCCGAAAAGTAACTAGTTGACTGCTGGGTAGCTCGATGCTATCGAGCTCATCGTAAAGTTCGGGACAACTTCCTCACGGCAGGCGACCGGGGGACTGCAAGAACTTCACCGAGCACGCCACTGTCGGGGAACTGACGCTGTCCTGCTTCGCGCTTGCTGCAAAGTTCGGGGGGAGTCTGTTCCTGGTGTACCTGCACGCTGGGCGGAGGACAACCACACCTACAAGTTTGAGCAAGTGGCAAAGTCGACAACCTAGTAAACTCCGACCTACATCGTCCTCAACATCATGGAGGGACTGCGGGAGGAATAGATATGCCGGGTGTGTCGCATCGGGAGAGGCAAGTGTCTCCCAGTGGCAGACACAAGGGGGAACGTGAGTGTGAGAGCGCAGTGAGCTGAATGCTAAAACAAATTCGTGTGCCAAGCTGGGGGGAAGGGAATCATTAGTTGGTTGTGTTTTTCAGGTGTGCTGTACTTCGAATCTTGATGCACCAGTGCCTATCCCCCCATTCCTGGAGCTCGCAAGTTCATACTCCTTGTCGGGGGAGTCTGCTTCGCTCAACTCAGATACCTTTTCAACGGCGGCTTCGGCTGACCTTCGCTCTGAACTTTTCAAAACTCCTGAGACCCCTGCGGGGGACCTTTCGAGAAGATTGTAATGCGATTTGTAATCAGCCCTCGGGCCTTCGCTCAGCCAACGTTCACCTCGCTCAAATGCATGCATGGTCATCTTGTAGGGACAGCTAAATTCGACCGACACAACTTTTGCTACTCCCTGGACTCCTAGACCTGTTTCCCGAACCTGTGACATAGAGGGGAAAGGGGGGAATCCTTCGTGTTTCGCGGTTAAGCTTACAACTCCTTGTGTTGTACTTTGTCGAACAAACAACCCCGATATGTCATGCCTGTGGCTGCGAACAGTTCGGTGAGGATCGAGGCCCGGGGGAATGAAATCGTGGTTGCATACTTTCTCTAAATCGTAGCGTGCATTAAGTGTTTGTATTAGCGTTTGTGTTAGCTTTGTCTTGTGACTTGAGAAGAAGTTGCCGCGGGGGATCCCACGAACATGACACAGCTGAGCGAAGTCCCACCGACCACACCTTGACATACTTGTCTACTCCTCATGTGGTTTGTCCTTTGAAATGTTGTCGGGGGACTTTCTCAGTTTGCACGTGTCGATGAGAGTGCACGGCTGGATGATCTCGCTATTGTACTCTTTATGGCTGTAGCCCAAATCCAAGCCTACACTCGTTCGTCACGCCTCCTGCCCCGATAAAAGATCGGGTGGGCTTGAAGCCCGGGGGCCTTGACCGGCCTTCAAGCCCAGGAGAGAGAGAGAGAGAGAGAGAGAGAGAGAGAGAGAGAGAGAGAACGAGACATGTTGCAGACCGTTTGCCAGTACACGTCTGACGAAGCCACCCACTGACAGGACTGGTGAATGCTGTTGCAGATCTTCGGCGGCACCTGTACATCCAGCAGCTCTGGGCGCAACAGCAGCTACACACAGCTCGCCAAGAACAGACTCAACACCGACGACCGTTTTTACAGGCTTGCCTCTACCAGGGGGACGCAAGTAGCCTAAAACAGTAACGAGCCAAGCAGCAAGATGCCCCAAATAAAAAGCCACCTGCTACAGTCTCCTAGCCATGGCCTCAGAGAGTTCCTCAGTGCATGCGAACGCCGCAGAAGGGGGACCACCTGGCGCAGCAACCTCCTTCTGCAGACAAATGCAGGGGAAGGCAAACACCGTGGCAAACACCTACCTCACGAACGTCGTGATCCTAACTGCAAGTGCTACAATATCCCCCCTCGAAAAAGCGCAGAACCTCTGCAGCTGCATCTTTTGACCAAGGGGGAGAGGCACGGACCGGGGAACTTGTGGCAAGCAGAGCGACTGCAAGTGCAGATGGAGAATTTCCTCAGCCCCAACACGACCGAAAAGGTCAAGTCGCCCTCCACTTCGAGCGGCGAGTCTTCATCGTCGGAGACCAGTGAAAGCACGGAAGAGGACCCACTGCGGGGGACACACGAACAAAGAAGGTCGACAAGACGCTATGTCGAGCAGCTCTACGCCGAAGCATGGAAGGGGGAGATGGTCTTCCACAGCGACACCCGCACCTTCCACATGTTCGGGGAAGCGCCGAGCACCAAGGTGAAGGTGCTTACAGAACAACAACGTCGGGGGATCGTCGAGCGCATGGCAGACCAGATCTACAACTGTCTGATGACAGCCAAGCTGCACGGAAGACAGCGCACGCAAAGCCACGTCATGGACTCCCTCAACCAACACCCTCTGAAGGTGGGGGGACTTTGGACTGTGCTCCAGATCCGCTACCACGAGGAATCACGAGGAGCTCAAGCTGGATGTTACGACATGGCGCACCTTGGCGAAAGTCTTGGAGAAGCCGGCGGACACCACCACAGCGGGAGAACTACATCCACAAGTACCTGCCGACCCAGGAGAAGCAGCACCTGTTACGCCTCCATTACCAGGCGAAGGCCTGAGCCAACAGAGGGGGGAACAACGACTTGAGGAGCCGGACTGGGAAGACCCAGACAACAGTGAAGCAACCCACGCTCACGGACGCGGACTTCCTTCAGCGGACCCTCAGCGACCTGGACGCAGAAGCAGGGGAACAGACAGTGGAGGTCGAAGCCTTTGACCGGGGGAAGCAGACGTCAGGGCCTACAAAGCACGCCGAAAGTGGGCGCAGGAAAGAAAGCCGCAGAAAGTGACCGTGCAAAGCGAGAGCAGCTCCCACCAAGCTCGGAGTCTACAAGTTACACTGCTGAAGAGGGGGCAGTCGAAGTCTTCGTCGAGATCGGCGAGCCAGCTTGGGGGGGAACTGCGCGCCTCGCCGCCAAAACTGCGCGGGGAGGACACGCTGCAGACGGAAGCCAAGTCCGGACACACCCAGCAGGGGGAGTCCCAGAGAGACCGCCGCTGCCAAGAAAGAAGAAGTACAACAGCTGAGGGGGGCAGTGAGCAGTAATGTTGCGAACGGGGGCAAAGCCCTTGAGATTCTCCCTTTTTGACAAGTAGCAGATATACATGTCACAACAGGGGAAGGACCAATAAAATATATGACGCAGTCGAAGCTTGAGAGTCGGGGAACAACACACTGGTCTGGACCTCAGTTTCGCCGCCCTGCCGTTCGACTGCTACTTCCACTAAGCTGTAAGTTGTTTCGTAGGGTGACCAGCACAGTAGGGGGACGGCTCCTTTTCGGGGTGATTTAGGTAGTGTAAAGGGGGGGGGCACCACGGTTTGACAAACAGTGCCTCAATCCGGCAGCAGTTTTCACCAAGACCCGCGGATCCGGTGCGCACGCGTGCGCGGAGGGGAACTTCCCCCTTTTGTCCGAGTGCAAGCAAGCAAGCAAGAGAGAGAGAGAGAGAGAGAGAGAGAGAGACAGCAAGCAAGGGAGAGAGAGAGAGAGAGAGAGAGAGAGAGAGAGCGCAGACCGTTCCCCGACGGACGGAAGTAGGAAGAAAGAGTGAGAGAGAGAGAGAGAGAGAGAGATGTTTTCGTGCCTCTCCGTTCTTTTCCAACTGAGTGTGGGGAATTCCCCAGAAGAAATTCTTCTTCCATGTACAATATGACGGGCCGCAGGAGCCAGCTATCTCTCAACTTGCCGTACCTCCGCTCGAGGTAATTCAAAGCCTGGTGCCTTTCGATTTTCAGTCTGCCGGGGATGTGCCATTGAGTTTTCTTGTGACGTTCGCCTGCCTCGCACCTGACCCCGATAGATTGAACTGTGCTCCTTTCCTTCCAGCACACCCACCGAGGCAAGTTGCACTTTTATCTCGTTGTTGTTTTGCTTGCCCTCGCAACCTTTTGCCTCGGTGGTGTGCGCACGTCTTTCCTCTGGCACCCGCAACTGTCGGGGGCGCTTGACGCGCGCGGTGTAGGGGGTTAAACCCCTACACCATAGCCCTGGCGAAAGAAAGAGAGAGAGAGAGAGAGAGAGAGTAGCCATTTTGGCTCAAGGTGCTCTACATCGTCTTCGCCAACTACGACGTCCCCGCACTCTCGAGGGGGAAGGTGCGGCAGTGAAGCCCCTCTCTTCCTGTGCCGTGGGGAGAGGTGGATCTGCCCCCTTCTCCCGAAAAGTAACTAGTTGACTGCTGGGTAGCTCGATGCTATCGAGCTCATCGTAAAGTTCGGGACAACTTCCTCACGGCAGGCGACCGGGGGACTGCAAGAACTTCACCGAGCACGCCACTGTCGGGGAACTAACGCTGTCCTGCTTCGCGCTTGCTGCAAAGTTCGGGGGGAGTCTGTTCCTGGTGTACCTGCACGCTGGGCGGAGGACAACCACCCCTACAAGTTTGAGCAAGTGGCAAAGTCGACAACCTAGCAAACTCCGACCTACATCGTCCTCAACATCATGGAGGGACTGCGGGAGGAATAGATATGCCGGGTGTGTCGCATCGGGGGAGGCAAGTGTCTCCCAGTGGCAGACACAAGGGGGAACCTGAGTGTGAGAGCGCCGTGAGCTGAATGCTAAAACAAATTCGTGTGCCAAGCTGGGGGGAAGGGAATCATTAGTTGGTTGTGTTTTCAAGTGTGCTGTACTTCGAATCTTGATGCACCAGTGCCTCTCCCCCCATTCCTGGAGCTCGCATGTTCATACTCCTTGTCGGGGGAGTCTGCTTCGCTCAACTCAGATACCTTTTCAACGGCGGCTTCGGCTGACCTTCGCTCTGAACTTTTTCAAAACTCCTGAGACCCCCTGCGGGGGACCTTTCGAGAAGATTTGTAATGCGATTTGTAATCAGGCCCTCGGGCCTTCGCTCAGCCAACGTTCACCTCGCTCAAATGCATGCGTGGTCATCTTGTAGGGACAGCTAAATTCGACCGACACAACTTTTGCTACTCCCTAGACCTGTTTCCCGAAACTGTGACATAGAGGGGAAAGGAGGAAATCCTTCGTGTTTCGCGGTTAAGCTTACTCTGGGTTTCTTGACTTGCGACAAAAGGAGGATATTGTAGCTTGCATGGGCCTCCTCTTTGTTGCTATGCTGAACAACAACCCCCGATATGTCATTACTGAGGCTTTTGATGTAATCAGTGGAAAGAACCCGCGGGGACGAAGTCGTAGTCACACGTACTCGTAATTGTATCTCTGGTTTTGCAGTTGACTCTGGCTTGTGAAAGACGTTGCCGCGGGGGAAAGACTGGAAGGTTACTACTGAGCGGAGTCCCACCGACAAAAGCCCTTCGTACTATGCTTCTTATTGCATCATTGATTCTCGCGAAAACGTTGTCGGGGGATATCCTCAGTTTGCATGTGTCGATGAGAGTGTACGGCTGGATGATTTCGCTATCGTATGCTTTATGGCTGTAGCCTAAATCCATGCCTACACTCGTTCGTCACGCCTCTCGTCCCGATAAAAGATCGGGTGGGCTTGAAGCCCGGGGGCCTTGACCGGCCCTCAAGCCCAGGAGAGAGAGAGAGAGAGAGCGAATCCCGCGCGGGGCGGGAGGGCCCCAAGCACGGAGCAAAGCAAAGCAGAGAGAGAGAGTCCTAGCGGTTGTGCGGGCAAGCCAGTTTGTGAGCAGTTTTCACCCGGCGGCGACAGATTCCTCTGTTTGCGACTCCGCGCCGGGGGTTGATACACTTCGACACCCCTGGCTGTGCTGAAGAAGAGACAAAAAAACTTCGGGGGCCTGAAAAGCCTGGTGCAGTCGTACGGTTACGGTATGGGATTCAATCATCGTGGAGGTCGAGCAGCCTCCCGTCTTCGGAGGGCACTGGTGTTTCACACCATCCAGACCATCCAGACCTGGATAGGGCGCGGGAACGCACGAGGGCAAGCGCAGCTGCGTGTCTTATGGGTCTGCTGGAGAAAAATTTACTCGTCCCTGTGGAAGACACTTGCCCGAACACGAGGCCCATTGCACTCGTGAATCGGCACGATGATGGATCTCTCCCGTCAAAAGCATGCCTTCTGTCCTTAAGTCTTAAGTTCCATGAGCTCAAGGTTGGAGGGGCAGGCATAGCTGTAGCACTGTAGAGCTCTGCTTCAAAAAAAGAACATGCAAACCACAGGCTCGCCGCAAATTGAACGTCTGCCAAAGAGAACTGCCCTTGTCATCGTTGTCTTCCGGGCGCAGAAACAGTTGAGCTGACGACATCTTTTCGTGAGTGGTTCAGACAAACGATTTTTGAATCGCGGTTTGGTGTTCGGCATGAGATGGCTTCTCGGATTTGAATCGATCTTTTTCCTTCCCCGAGGGAGGGACAACAGTTTCCTAGCGTTTTTCGGGTTTCCCTTTCAGCCTCCATTTTGCGATGCCTGCGAAACAATCGACTGCAAACCGCTGTTCGTGTTTAGCATTCCGACTCCGATCCAGCACAGAACCTGACAGAATCATGTAGCCAGACCAAGTACTCCAAGTACCATATAAGGTGGCCGATGATCTGTGGTTTTGCACTGCGGCCCTGGACGAGCGATATCTCCCCCTGTTGCCGGTGCTATCTCGCAACTATCTAGAGAGCCTACGTCCTGGGTCCGTAGGATCTAAGGACCGTCAAGTACCCGTTCTCAGTCCCTAGTGCCCGTAGTGTATCATCTGTATCGTACGTTTGGCATGTTCCTAGCACCAGTCGCTGGTCTCCGTGCACTAGCGAGATAATTGGTTGTCAAGGTAGACATGATAGTCGAGGTTGGCATGATAGAAGACACCAAGCAGCTTTGGAGACTTGAGACCTATCGCGGATATATGACAGATCACTGCTATTGCTACATATTACTACGAGTACTACCAACAGAACTCCTGCTACAATTGCCTTGCGAGATCTCGTACAAGGGCAAAGCGATGCCTCAAAGGATAATTTCGCCAGATCCCTGAATAGAGATCGGATCCCTGAAAGCAAAAATAATCTATGGTCTGGTCTAAGAAGTCGTGACGAACGCCCATGTATCTCTGTCTTTCGCTCTCTCTCTCTCTCTCTACATCGCTCTCCCTCCCTCTGTCCGAGATCAAGACGGCGACGCACTACACCCAGGTCTTTGCACACGTGCACGTCATGCGTGTATATATATATATGTATGTATGTATGGATGGATGGATGTGTAGTTGTGTGCGAGGGAGTTGCGGATGCACGTGGAGGCAAATGCAGGCATACACGAACGCTGGGTCTTTAGATCAACGCACCGAGAGACCTCATCTGGCAAGTCCGAGTTATGAGAGCGAAAACAGATGTACTTGATGAGGTCTCAGATGCTGCGGCGTTCCCTCAACGGGATGTACAAGGCCCAGCAATGCAAGGCTACAGCAGTTGTCCAGATAACCCACATAGGGTCCATTTCAGTGCAGGCCGGCGAAGACTTGACACGTGAGTGGTGCAGCTGGCTCCACGCTCAAGTCTAACCCAGACGAGTTTGCCATGGCAGTTGACACGTCACGAGGCTTTCCGCTCTTCGGCAGGCTGGTCAATGACAGAAGCGTCTGCTGGTTTATGCATATTTATGCGAATGCGTCATGCAAACAGCGGTTCACATCGGCTAGAGACGCAAGCGGAAGACTACGCGTGCTCAGACGATGCCAAATCCTGTTTTTACAAAGGTGCAGCTGGCACGGCTCTGTCCCGGACTGGATCTGGATGCACAGCTTAGGCGTCAGACATCACGAGCGGCTTTGTGTGTCGGTGCTCTTGTGTAGATTTTTTCATACATGTCCTCGAATAGGCTTCTTCGAGCAGTGACACTGGCACTACCTTCAGCGAAGGCTGGCGAAGCCGATAATGTCGGACATGAGCCAGTCGGCGCGTCCTGTCATCGAACCGCGACATCGGGTTGGAACCAACCAGGCCGCAGGCGACGCGGCTGCACCGGTGCATGCCTGAGTTGCCAAGCTGAGAAGGTAAGAAAGCACCTGCCCCAGAAGCCTGTTCCTCGCAGAAAGGGAATGCGAAGAAAAGCGGAATTCAAGCAATTTCAAGCATAATACTATCCCTTCGAAGTGATGCACCGGCAGAGGACGAATCTCCTCCTGGCCATTCGGTCAGTCAAGGTTGTCCTTCCACTTGGCCTCTTTACCTTCTGGCAGGTTCACCGCGCTTGTCTGTGCCTGCAACACAGCGCTGAGTTATGTTGCAGGACTGCCTATCGAAGAATCCAACTCACACGAATCAGGATTTGTTCTGCAGCTTTCAACTCACCACTGACGACCGGCATGCATGGAGTCATCATTGCACGAGCATCCTGACCAAGACAACGGCCACGGCAAGATGCAACAGCCGTAAACCAGCAGCTCCCGCACCGTGCCGTCCCTTCGCACCGTGAGACAGCCACACCGACACAGCTGTAGCATGACGTAAGCCGCAGGCCATTTTTCTGAACATGGCTTGGTGAGCGGCTGGCAGAATGGTTTCCGATGCACGGTCAAGGCCTGGCAACTGCCAAATTCCTCGGCTTCCCGTGCTGCATTTGTCTCGACATCCCGACTTCTCCAAGTCTGTCGTGGATGCAGTGCCCCCTTTTGCCGAGATTCCAGCTGGATTCTGGAAACCAGGCACCAGCGCCGCGATAGTGCTCGCTCCCGCAAGCCCAGACAAGCGGACTCCAATGTCTCGCCCCAAGTGCACAGTGTTGGACCCGAGAAGAGATAAACCTCTGCCGAATGCCTGGCATGTGCAATTTTCGCTCGTGAGTCGGAGCAAAGAGACGTTGCCGTAGCAGTGTGCAACAGACACTCAGACTCAGACGGGAGGGCTCAATTGATGGTTTCCACAGATCGAGCGCACTTAGCCTTTCCACAAACAGATGAGCTGCTAGAAACTCTGACGGGACTGCCATGGCCATGGCGGCTGGGTCTCGGCTTATCTGCTTGAACAATGTCCCAATGGAAATCGAGCTGACAAAGGCGGGGTCAGCAGACTTGGCATTGCAGTCGCAGTGCGCTGCTCTGTTCAGGAGCCTTTGCGAGTTGGCCGTGCTGTGCAGCCTTTGCCTGTCTGGCACCAGCTCATTCCAGATGAAGCAACAAGGAACACCATATCTCGCGTCCACTTCGAGGCTCTTCAGACCGGTTGAAGGTTAATCGTAGGGCTTTGTGTGACTTGCAGGTGGAACGCTGCTTCTTGCCCTAGCACTAAAGGGGGTACTACCTGGTGAGTTGTACCAGCTGCAGGTGGTGCGGCACGGGGGTGCCTTCTTGCTGCGGAACCTGAGTGCACAAGGCACACTCGTAAATGGGTCCACTGTGAACGAGGAGGTGATCCTCAAGAATGGGGACATCATCAGCATTGGGCAGGTGGGGTCCGAGTATGGCAACAGGCCAGCCTTGCAGTTCAAGGTACATCTCTGCGAAGACCTGATAGCCAAAGCATCTTTTTCTGTGTGCCTTTGGTGGCTGCTTCCAGGCCGACAAACTGAAGTTCCTGCATACTGTAGACTGTAGGTTTGTGGTCCCGGTTGGGCGGGGGATCCTGTTTCGTTTCACAGCATGTGCGATATGTACACTCGAGGTGCAAACGGCACCGAACCCACGGTGCTGAACAAACAGCTGTTGGCTGGGCCATCGGGCGCTGTGCGTGTCGGCCGGGCCCTGCAGCCCCCCGAATTTTGGCAGACGCTGGTTCCGGATGAGACCCTGAGAAATGCAATCTCACGCGAACATTTCGATGTGTGTCCGACAGCTGACGGTGTCGTGCTCATCAACCGCAGCGTCGCCGGAACTTTACACAATGGCGTTCTCGTGCAGCAACAGACCCGAGTGAACAGCGGCGATGTTCTGGCCATCCCGTTGCACAACCAGCCACGAGAGCCCCCAATCGTTCAATTTCGCCTGGAGTGTGCAGCCGGCCATCCCGATCCTGACTTCGAGGATGGGGCGCCGCCCCGTCTGCTCGGTGCAAAGGCGGGGAGCGTCGATGCCTCTCTCTCGCCGGAGAAGGAGGCCGCCGACGTGGTGAAGATTGCTGTGGATGCGCTCCCTCCACCTTTCTCTCTCGAATGTGTGGCTGCAAGAGGCGTTGAAGGGAGAGACTTGGAGCAACTGCCCACGGCCTGCCGCAGTTTGGCGGCAAGCTTCTCGCAGGTTGAGATCTCCGTGGGATCCTCGCATCAACCCGGAAATTTCTGGGAAATGTTGCTAAAAGATCCAGCTCTCCATGCCCAGATACTCCCGCTGCACTTCCGACTCGAGATGGCTCAGCTTAGCGATGGGCCTATGCTGATACTCGATGCGCATGCTGCGACTGAGCTCAACGGCAAACTCGTAGAAGGCAAGGCGCCGGTTTTGCAAAACGACTTGATAAGTATCGCTGGCACTACCAACGGCGTGACAGACGATGTCCCTTTGGTGTGCTTCCGTATCTTTGGTCGCGGTTGATGCCATGGCAAGTCTTTCGTTTGAAACTTTATCGATTAAGCAGGTGGTTCTGCTTTCACAGAGTCAGTGATGAAGCCAAGGTGTGAATTCGGCACTGAGCTAATGCAGGCCCTTTGCAAGGAATCCTTGTGAAGCTTCACGTGGGCACACGCCCGTCGGTGTGCAAACGTCTCCCAAAGTAAGCATCTGACAGCTAGCACTCGAACTGATTCGACCATTCCACTTGCACGCCGCTGGATTGGGTTGTGCGCAAAATGCTGATAGAGCAAAGCTGATTACCGACGCAGAAGGTGGGTGCAACTAGTGACCATGCATCATCGGAATAACACCGTACCCTGAGCTCTGACAAAGCAGTTGATGTTTTATCGGCTGTTTCCCATCATAACTCTTTCGGGCACCTCTTGCGAAGCAAAGCAACGGCATCGAGCGGCTGTCCAAAGATGCCTTGGCAATCGGCTCTCAGCCCAGTGTACAGCCCATGCTCGAAGATGATTTCATGTGTGGCACAAAAAGAAGGCATGGGATGGCTATGAAGCCGTACGGCGGTTCACTTCACTTGACCTGAGAAGTGGTCCAAGGCCGGAGGTTCGCTTCGTACACGAGTCGTGGTTTGTGGCTCATTGCTGCTGGTTGGGGGAGCGCTGCTGCTGTCCGAGGCCTGCCCTGGCCCTGTCTCTGAAGCCACGTGTGCGATGCTTCCATCTCTGCACTCAAGGCATCCGTTGGAGCGCGGTCAAAAACTTGGGCCGGCGCACCGTGCTCAGGGAGTGCACGGTCGCCATACACTCCAGATCTCACCATCCGAAAAGACGGCCACTGCGAAAGCCATCACAGACTTGTGGCCCGACCAGGTCATCCTGGAGCGCACGTCTCGGTTCTATGGCATGTGGGTTGCATTTAGCAGGCTCTGCATTCTCGGGCCGATAGGCCTGCTGACCTACTGTAGCCCGCAAGACCATGTCCATGCGCACCACACCTCTGCCAGATAGCCCAGTGACGACAATCGTCCAGCCCAGGAAGCCCCTCGCAGCTGGCAGCCGCATCGCTGAATCTGCAGGATCTCGTTGGGAGCTTTGCTCTGACTAAAACATTACATCTACAAGCTGCCAGGAAGGTACACCTGATGCTTTGGATGCGCCCTCAAAAGCCACTTGTGGGCACGTTGTGGGCACGGGTCGCCTTCAGGCTGAAGTCTATCTCGGTGGGTCATGGATTTTATTTGTCGGTCCAGGCCACCGCAGCTCCCGTCGCTTCACCTCTGCCAGTGCCGGCACCGGCAGTGCCACCCGCACCAGCGCCGGCAGCTACAGCATCAGCACCGGTAGCAGCGCCCCCGAGCGGCGCTTTGAAGTCTTGCCTCGCGTTCGTCCATATTCCCAAGGCTGGGGAGAGGCACCGTCTTAGATCGTTGTGTTTCCTGCTAGTCGCAGGCAGCAGGCTCGAATGTTGAGGGTGTCATAGCACGAGCTTTTGGCCGGGGCCTCAAGGCATGTATCTGTGATCATGTACGTGTCAGTGATCAACCAGAGAGATGTGCCGCTGAGGTTATAACCAGGTCGTTGAGAATCCAGGTGATTGCAGCTTTGCGTTTATGGAGCGGGTTTCGTTCTGAGCTGCTACCAACGGTAGCACTTGTGTTTGCGTGCATCCGGGTGTTTCTGACAGACCGAGCGGGGATATCAGATGTTTTCTGTCACTGCGTGCTCCCGCACAAATCGAGGCATCTCGATGCGAAAAATCGAGAAAGTAGTCCGCTTTTGGGGCATGTGCGATGACAGGCTACAGTGTGCAGCTTGCCTGCATATCACTGGGTCATTAGCCATCCGTGCAGCCACTCTAACTAACTTCAAATCACGCAGACGAGTCTCTGGAACTTTCGGTAGCTCATTCGGGATGCGCGTGAATGACCACCAGGCATCGAGAGAAAATGATGCTCGTGCTGGCAGCTAGCATTTGCCTCCAAAAGGTGTTTACTCGATTATGCTAGTACGCTACGGCGCGCTCTTGCTCATTCGGTCCGCATTGCTGGTGTAGGCACTGTAGACGTGCAGTCAACTACCGTGCAGGTGGATGTGGTGACGTGTTGCTTTCGTGTGCTCGCCGCATGTGATAAGGCGTATTGTTTCATAATGATCCTGTTGCCTGTGCCCGTCGAGGAAACCAAGAAGCACTGCGGCTGGTCTGGCTAAGATCTCAGATGACAAGCCACTCCTCTTCTCCACATCGAATCGATGGTCATGAGTGGCACGTTCTCGTTGTCGTTTTGCGTCCAAGGTGCCGACTGCTGCTGCAAAGCTGAAATTGATGTCGGGTTTCGAGCCACTACCGCCTTCCCCATGCTTCGAATCGTCGAATCTGAGGCTATGTAAACAAATCCTTCGTGCCGCCCCCTACGCCCAACAAGGGCGTGGTCGCTTGGATACACCTTTGTGCACCTCTGACTGTGCAACCAGAAAGTCAAGACCCTGAAGCAGCCTCCGCCCAAGCTATGGCTCTTAGGATCGGTGTAGCTTTTGGCACTTTCCTCCCGCCTGGGATGCGCAGCTCGTGTTGGCCCTATTTTCCAGAGAGTCTTGTCAGTGACACCAGAATCGTAGACCAGCCCGCCTGAGGCGAAAGCGTACAGTGAAGACTGCGACTCGTTCTGTGTCGTTCGAGAACCTCTGAGTCGCTTTTTGAGCCATTGGAGGCATCTCAGCTAGGTCATCAAGCAGCAGTTTTGTTACCTTCGAGCGGCCTGGTGGCAGGTGGAGGCACTTCAGCAAGCCGTCAGACTGCTCGCCTGAAGTACTGGAGAAGTACACACAGGCTTGTCCAGAGTGACATTGTGAGTCGCTCTATGTGGTATGAATCGGTACAAACATCACCACCAAAATCTTGGGGTGCCACGTAGAAATTCGGAACCCCGGAAGCATTTCTGGCTTCTCGGCAGGAAAAGCTTGGCCAAGCCCGGGAAGATGCCTTGCTGGAGGATTGCCATTTCACGCCGCAGGCTTTGCAGGGCCAGGGTCATCGTTGAAAGTCGCCTAGCCTACTCAAAAAAGCGCGATATGTTTGAATTGATGATGTGATTTGCTGACAACTAGGGGTGCGGCAAAACGAATCGGACGCACGCATTGAATGTAAGATGCACTGTGTGGTCAATCCGCCACGTCTGCTTGTAAAGCTTGGTGTCCTTCTGAAACCTCGCGTGACCTGGTCGAGCTGCAAGTGCTAAGAAGATGCACGGGACATCCGCGCGTGTTGCAGGTATACTACGCCTTCCAGAACGGCCCCCTGGCCACTCAGGTTGTAACACCTGCAGGCTTTGCCGGAGGTTTTGGCAGAAGACTAATGTCAGACTTGCACCGCGGCTACTTGTATCAGATGCTCGTACTTACCTGCGTGCACAGACTCGTGAAAGACGAGTCGAGGAGTGATGTTTTTAGCTTGACACGTGTCAAGGCGATCACACAGCTCCTCGGATATGTCGGCACATAATCAAGCTGGAGCATCTGGATGCAGAGTTCGCGCCCTTGATGGCGCAGTACAACCTTGAGAAGGCCCATTGGGTTCGTTGTTGCTGGATTGGGGTCGGTGCAGCGACAGCAAAAGTCGAGCATTTTAGCAGCTTCAATTTCAATCAATGCGTTATGCACATACCTTTCCCGTCGTAAGCCTTGGCCTCAGCACGGGTTCAAAGATTTCAATCAATGCAATCGTGTTCGAGGTGCACCTCGGAAAAGGCAAGTCTCGCTCTAGCATCACAGCTGCACTTGAATTGCAATGACCACCGGTTTGCACTTTTTCAGTACTCCGCGAAGGCAAGAAGTGCGACATAGTCCCGACGGATGCGACCGTGAAGCTGATTAAGGAAGGTGGTCGCTTCCGTTCGGCGCGACTTTGCAGGTTCCTGACCATAGCACCCTTACCTCTGCCTGGGGGGAGCTCGCACCCCTGCGAGAAGCAACGATTTTCACCAGCAGATACGCTGTAGTCAAGATTCTGCGCATTGAAGCTGTCTTGGCAGTAGGGTCGGCAGGATTTCTATGCAGCGGACTACAAGGCCCAGCCTGATTGCATGGAGGGGATGCAGTCATCCTGTCTGTTCGCCACAGCAAGCATAGACTCGGAATGACGACGCATCGTGTCTGCAGGCCTTCGGCTACGAGTAGATGGAGACACCAAGCGAGATCACATGAGCAGGGAAGTCACATCGGGAAAGCTCAAAACCCCCCCGGATGTTTGCTTCTGGTGCAGTCTGTGCAGAGGCCAGGACGGAGGTCCCCAAAGCTTGGGATGCTTCGATTCCTGACTCTGAAGCAGGGGTTGAGAGCAAAAGCGAAGTGTGCAATCGTTTGCAGGACGCAACGGGCTCTGGGCAGCTGTGCGTCTGCTTTTACATGAGTCTCCCGTTGTGCTTGAGGATGCTACTACTTCTGCGATCGCGCGCGTTCACACTCAACTGGCAAACGTTTGGGACATCTGTGTGTTTCATTCAGGGAGACAGCTGAATGCAGGCCTCAGTCGTGCCACTAGACCCAGCTTAGCCAAGAGCATGAAAAGCTCCCAGAAGCTGAACACCAGTATTTGGTTGCTTGAACAGCTTCAGTGCTGTTCTCCAGCCATGGATGTTGACACAGAGCTTGCAGCTGCACTGCCATAGAGCCATAGAGTGGCATCATGCTGGCAGTGCCATAGCCGCACTCGACCATTCCAAGTGCGAGTTGTGCAAAGTTCCGCCTGCTGAGGCAGACAAGCTCGAATTGACAAGCATCTCGGAGCGGCACATTCATCAGACTCAGCCTGCTGAAATGCTGTTAGATGTTGTTTGCTACATCTGATCGATTCGGAAGGTTTGATCAAGAAGAGTGCCACTGACTTGAAGGGCAAGGACGAGTAGCCGTTTTTGTCGCAGCAGGTCGAAGCTGCAGCTGGATCTTGTAAAGCCTGCTTGGAGGAGCTGGAGCTGAACAAGAGCAACTTCGAAGCTGTCGGCACGCAAGCTGCGGTGCTGGCTGGCTTCGCCATTTGCATGATTGCAGCTTTCACGGCAAGTTTCCCTCACTGACTCTGCTGGCCCTTAAGCCTGGAAGGAGGGGATCTTGAGTTTCGGAGAGCTTAGTCATCTTAGTCACAAGATGCGATCCCGAGGCATGTATGACACCAGCTCAGCTGCAGCTGCAGGTGAAGATTGATTTCCCGGATGACGTCAATCCTGTGAGCAGTTCCTTGTACTATTTCTTTGCCCTGATCAATCTCGTGGGCAACATCGCTCCTCGGCTCTGGCTCCGCATGCTCTGCATGCTCTCTGCATGCTCTCTGCATGCTCTGCTTGAATCCGTATCCTCCGTCCGGCTGAGGCCTGCGTGGCATCGGTAGCCTGTGTGAACATCATGGGGACCAGTCTTGGCCTGCGCGGGCCAGATGGATCCATGCTGCAGGCGGCCGATGGCATGCACAAGCAGACACTCGGCAAAGGGAAGCTCCGTGATTCTCGCTTGGAAAAGCCGACTAGTGTTGCAGGCTGCAGGTGTTAGTACCGGACATTGCTCGGTCGCCCCAGGCGAACGCATCATGTGAAGCCGGCATAAACCTGCCAGCCAGAGCCCCTCGGTGAATTGTCTCTCTGATGGCTGGCAAAGGAGAGATCGTATCTTCTGGGCTTTCACCACCGGGCTGGTTGGTTGCGCCCTGGTTTCTCGGCCATGGCTTCCGTAAGGGACTGCCGGCACAAAGTGTCTGAAGTTCTGAAGTGGAATCTTGAGTCATCGACGCCACCATGCTTGTCCAAACGACGAAGTGTTCTGAGGAGCTGCAGTAGGACGTTGAACAGTCATAGGCTTGGCAGCACACGAAAACCACTATTGGAAACCCCGAGCAACAGCCTTTTCAGCTATGGACAAGTCGTGGCGCTAATCTTGACGTGATGTTTGTTCTGAACGCAGTGATGCACCAGGCAACTCTTGTTTTGGCTTGGCTGAAGATGCAGTCACTTGGCAAGGACAATGATCACATGTGTTTCGCTGATTGGAGGTTGCAGCTACGTAGCTTCGTGCCCTCCAAGGCCTGTCACCGCCGCGCTGTGCACCGCAGTGGTGTTGTACGGCGTAGCCTCAGGACGGAAAGCGTTCTCAGCTTTGTCGTTTCCAAGCTTACATGATGAGGAGCAGCATCCACAACACAGTCTCTGAGACACGTTGACTGGAAACAAAGCAAGATACTGTACGTTGCCGGGATGTGGGCTTTTGACCCGTGACCGCACAGGAGTCAAAGTGTCACTGCACGTCCAGACTCTTTGCTGCAATTTCTGTGGGCTCGCCAAGTACGAGTAACGGTCATAGTGATAGCTGTTCTTGTGTTACTTGATGTTATTTGTGTGGCCATGATTGGCCAGGAAGCTTTTCCGGTACAAGGAGACCGAGTCCGGCAAGGTGGATGACGTGCAGCGTGGCGTGCAAGATGTCCTGCATTGAACAAGTCCTCAGCGGTGCCCGCGGCCTATTCCCTAAGCTTGTATTGTCACTTCCGATCCCAGGCTGAGCTCCGAGACTGTGGGCCCGGAATCATTTGTCCGACAACTGGGCGCGGCTCGTCTCATAGCTGTCAGGGTTCCGACTGACTCGGCACACGAAATGTTAAGCCATCTGCGAGGTCGCAATGGTTAGACTCGTTCGATGAATTGAGGTTGACAGTGATACATTGATCCAGCAGCTTGGATGCCAAGTCCAGGGCGGGCTCATGGAAACCATGCTAAAAGCAGAAACACTAAGGAACAAACACGCTCCCTCTGCCCAGAACGTAGAAGAACGCACCCGTCATTGGTCCAAGGCTTCTCGCAAAGATTCGCCGCCGGCGGCAGGAAGGGGACCTGGCTCCACTTTGACGCTTCCACTGCTTAGTCTGCCAGCCATGCTCGGCGGCACATGCACAAATCACACAAATAGCTCTTTTCCACAGTGCCTGTGGGAGATCCGTCTCGGTCTGTGCAGCTGTGCCACTTCCACTGAACTACCAGACTTCCTGAGCAAATCGGATCTCCGACAAGCACTGCTCCCACTGCAACCCAAATTCGGGTCACCTGCGCACGCCAGGGCGCAAGTGCGTAGGGGGTAGGCGGGTAGGTGTTACAGGTGGCTTAGAAGGTTTGCTACTCACAGACATGCACTGCGAAAGCAGGGCTTGGCAAAAGGAAATAGAAGAAGCATGTAGCTTCTCTGCTGGCACAGAGCCTTGCAGTGTCCAAAACTCGGCAGGTGCTGCTGCTGGTGGCCCTGGCCAGACGAGACGGGCGCCGCCCGAAATGTTTCCGCAGCTTTGGCGGGGAGGGGGGGGCAGCTGTGTTTGCAAGGCTCCACTCCATGGTTGTGCGCCGGCAAGCTGCAGGAACGCCCGAGGTGCACTGTCGGGCTTCGTTGTTAGGAACATGGCAGAGTTTCTTGGACGCAAGGTGATTTTCCGAACAGCTGCGGTTCTGACCGGCCGGCAGTGACTCCAAGTCAAAAGCGCAGCGCGGGGACCAGGGATTGCCACACACGCTTTGGCAGATGCTCGCAAACAAAGCATGGCATGTTTATGCGGTGTGTTTGGCCTTGGAAAAGCAGCGTTTGCAGCCTAGCAGGTGCGGCACATTGCCTGTGCTGCTGATTGGAAGAGGATCACGGGGTATCACGGGTGTAGAAAGTACCAATTGCAAAAGACTGGATCTTCACGATGTCGCCCTTGCTGCTGGCGGTCGGTGGCTGGCTGCGTCTTGCTTAAAGATGCTGTGTGCTCACAGATGCCCAGTCTCTTGCAGCCTCTTTCGTCAAGGCTCGAATTCTGTAACTAACTGGCGTTGTTCTTGTCGTGTCTGTCGTATCCTAGGGAACCGGCGTCGTCGTTTAGAAGGAACATCTCACAGTTTATTGCTGAACTTGCAGTGGGCTGAGGGCAGCAGCAGGCGTGCTGGCTCGCGACTGCCCGGACTGTGTCAGCAGGACGTGCTCTTGTTGATTAATCGAGCAGTGAAAACCGCCAAAGGTGCTGCCAGAAATCCAGCAAAAACTGCATCACCGAACCTGCTCCGGCACGCACTCCAAGCTCTCTGGAGTGTTGAGAAGGGGAGATCCACGGAAGGGATAAGCACGAACAGCAGGCAGAATCGCGCACAATCGGCGTCAGCATCTAGCAACAGCAGCACTAGCTCTGGTTTTCAAGCAATGCAGGAGTTGGAGCTGTCCCAAGAGATGCAGTCCATCGAACACCAGGCTTCACACCTTTAATTTCCAGTACAAGGAGACTCGCTGTTTGGACATCATTCCATGGACGCTCAGAGGCAAGCTGGAATGCAGGCTTGCTCATGTTTTCTGTATGTAGGGTTCGAGATGACGACAAGATGAAGGTTGCTGCAGAACATAAACCGTATTTCTACTGCTCACGAACCCCATTGTTTCTTTGGCAGCTGGCGCCACTGCTGGTGGCCCCAAGTCAGGAATGGCAGCTCGATGCAGGTCGACATGAACCTATGGAGCCTTGCCTTACAAGAGTTCGCAATATGCGGGCGGGCCCAGTTCCTTGAGACCACGACCGAAGCGCCCAGACTGTGCTTATAAAGGAAAAACTAAGTTTAGGCAGATTGCCACATTGCGAAGCATTTCCTTCGGTTTTGCACATGTGAAGCAAAGGTCAATAATTTGGGTCAAACAGATTGAATTGAAAGGCACGCTGTTTTAGGACCAGATGGGAGCTCCGTGAAGTGTGGGCCAGTCTCTATGAGCGGAAACCGCACATGATGTTCAGCGTGCATCGTGCGCATTGTTCGCTTTTGGAATTGGCCTGTGTTGATGTTTGAAGGGAGTAGTTCCCACGTGCAGCCCTTGGGGTTGACTCGAACATGAAGTTTTCATCCCCAACCTCGAGCGATCACTGCTTCTTCAAACGTCGAGTCATCCTCCACACTTGCCCATTCCCGCGAAGCCCCCTCCTAGTGGCGGATGATGTTGTGCTGGGGCAGCTTCTCCCTGGACTTGACCGCACCATCGACGTTTGCACTTTAATTTCAGCGGCGCAACCTCCCAATGCGAATACACGACTGGAAGTTTACAGGCGACCTCGCTGTTCCGCATTGCAAAGCGACGATGCAAATGCCTAATGATCTCTAATTGACGTGAACAAGGACACAAGGCGAATGGGAATGTCTGGACACATCTGGGCAGCTCACACTCCGGTGGTTGTGACGGACAGATATGATAAACTCTGCGAGTCTTGCGTTAAAATTCAAGAATCTGCTGCGGAGGAAGCTGTTTCCTGCATCGCGCCAGAGCCAAGGTGCGCCATGCCGTCAACGAAGCGGTGCCGTGATTTCGATTTCATGTGTCGGAGCAGGTAGCTGGGCTCGTTTGCGCCTGCATGATCTACAAATGCTATGCACAATTAGGGCACCGTGGGTGCCTTGTAGCGTCTCGAAGCAAGGATCACCTGCTACAACATGAACCGGCATCTTGGCAAGATTTGGCAAGCACGTCTTGTACTGCAGTGTATGCGAAGCTGCACAGCGAGAGACTTGTCGCAGGTTCACAGCCCGTGGCATGATTTCCTCGCTTGGATTCTGTCCTGTGCCTGCAGAGCACTCGGATCTTATGTCCCAGAAGCCCAACTGCAGTCGGGGATTGACACTGGGTATCAATGGATCATTTGGCTCGCGAGAATTGTCATTAGCAGCCACCCAGGAACTGCGACTGGGTTTGCAAGCGTGGCGAGCCGACCATCCGGTGCAAGTACGACTTTGACCGTTCTGGCAGATTTGGGATACAGTGGCCCGGCCGTGAAGTTTGCAAGCTTGAAGATTGGGTTGCTCCTTAGCAACTTGTGCCTTGCGAAGCTCGTCATTTGCAAGATGATGTCCCTCCTGCATCACCTGGCCCCCGCTGAAGTTACGAGTGCGGATTCTTAGCACCCTTCGTGTGTGGTGCTTGCGGTGGTTTCGACAAGGCTGCCCGTTTACGACTGTGGATGCTTGTGGCAGTCGCTGCTGTTGCTGCAAGGTGCTACTGCTACTACTGCAGTGCTGCTGCTGCTGCTGCCGCTGCAACTGCCACTGCTACTACCGCCACTATCACCACCACCACCACCACCACGACTACTACTACTACTACCACTACTACTACTACTACTACTGCTGCTGCTGCTGCTGCTGCTGCTGCTACTGCTACTGCTACTGCTACTGCTGCTACTACTACTACTACTACTACTACTGCTGCTACTGCTACTGCTACTGCTACTGCTACTCCTACTACTACGACTACTACTACTACTACTACGACGACGACTACTACTACTACTAGCTATGACTACTACTACTACTACTACCACCGCCACTGCTACCAAACTGGCAACACTGCTGTTGTAGGGTCCATACATTAGGAGCGAAGGACTTGGACGGACCCCATTTCGGGCCAAAGTCGCATTCTCGCCGCAGTCTCATGCCTCAAGCTCTCGCCACAGCTCCCACTACTTTGACCCTCGCATTTAGGCTTTCAAGATGCTCCAACGCTCCGAAACCTTCGCCGGCCCTCCACTCACCATTCGGCCTCTCGGGCACTTCGGTATGGTCTCGTTGCCCGTTGTCGCTTTTGCTCTCCCGCCCAAAGTCTGTGGATCCAGAGTTGTTCTCCAGCCGCCCGGCCTCAAGCAGCGTTGCCAATCGTGGCATGTCGCATCAGGTCAAGACTGGATACTTGCTGGGTCCAGGACCTGCGACTTGCTTTGCCTCCAAGCAAGACGTTTTGCGTGTCACGACAGGAGAGGTGTGTCAGTGGGCAAACTCAAACGTTGACGACCGTATGCAAGCCTGATGGTCGAGCGAGCACATCTCCACACGAGTCTCAGACTGCAGTGACTTGCTCGGACCATTCCAAAGGAGAGTGCCAGCAGTTCGCAGCAAAGGCTAACGTGCTCGGATTTGCGACTTTGCTGGTGACGGGCCCAGCTCGTTTTGCAGCGCAGTCTGGGGTGGACAACGCCTTGGGAAGTGCGCTGGCGCAGTTGGTGCCATCCTTAGTAAACTGTTGCTGGCCCTCGCCTCGAGATTGGACGAGAATCAAGAGAAGATATATCGCGCATGCTACAAGTAGATATTCACTGAAGGTAGCCACTTCCGAGACACACATCACTATGAAGATTCGCAGAAATGGAACATGGGAGCGCAACATGCTGGAGAACACGACGCAAGCTTTGCACGTGCCTTGGCAGAGTTCCGTTTTCAGATGGAATCAATGAGGCCAGTCAGACTCAATCCGTGCCCGGACAGTTCTCGGACAGGCGATGTTCAACATCTCCGTGGTCGGCAATGCGAGCTCCGACCCCCTGCAGCGTGCGATTGCCACCAAAGTTTTGATGGAACAAGTCAACAGCAGTCAAATCACCCAAGCCATGAACTCGGCACTCATGGCACGAGGCAGGTCGCAACGGCAAAGTTTGGAAATGAGGAAGTGTGTTTGGATATGTGTATGTGTCGATTTCAGAGTTAAAGTCATTAAGTCACTCAGGAAGTAATTCCTTGGTATTTGCTTCTAGATTCTAGGTTTGGTCCAGGTTGAGTCGGTGCAAACCACGTGCAACAAAAGAGCAAGAGAGTCAAAGAAGTAATTTCCATAAAGTAGTTAAGTAAGGCATGAAGAAAAGGAACAAGCGAGCAAGGACGTGTGTGAGTGGATATACAAGTAAGCAAAGCATGCAAGTGGGCAAGTAAGTAAGTAGGCAAGTAAGATTAGCACGGAAGTAGACTGAGCAGCTCGACTGGTAAGTCAGCAAGTAGGTGACAAGGTGACTTGGGTGAGTGAGTCAATGAGTAGGGTGGAGTCGGCGGGTAGGCAGGCAGGCAGGTAGGCAAGAGTAAGTAAGTAAGCAAGCAAGCAAGCAAGCAAGTAAGTAAGTAAGTAAGTAAGTAAGTAGCCGAGTAAAGTTTCGCTCGAACAGCTGCACACTCATGCCCTGCAGGTTTGGAGGCCTCCGTTCAAGCAGCCGATCTGACGGTAAGTCCTGGCCTGCAGAACTTGACCGTTCAAGGGCCCTCTCGGCAGGAGCTTTGTGTGACCGGCGCATTCACGGCCAGATGCAGACTAGGCGGAACTTGTTTGTAGTCAGGAATTCTATGCGCTTGTCGCGCTCCTGCGGAAATACAAAGACTACTTGAATGAGGCCAGATGGATTTGCGGTGTCATCACAAATTGGCTATCATGACAGAGAATCCAAGCACTTCATGCCCGCATTTTCATCATGGCAAGTGCTATTACTTAAAGGGCCTGCTCTAGAGGGCTCTTTTCCAACGGATCGATGTTGGAGCAAAGCGCACTGACCCTTCCGAATGGCACAGACGAAGAAGATGTCGAGGTCCACGCGGACCTCCAAGAGGCCCAGTCCGAGCTGAGCCTTCAGAGCCTTTAGCAGCAAGCGCGTGCAAGAGTATTGGAAGCGCTGCATTTTGTTCGTGTAGCCTTTGCGCTTGTTGCATGACGAACACGACGCGATGTTGGATAGATAGTGTCTCGTGTCGGCCGTTCTGCCACATCGTGTGGCATTCCTACGCGATCATGCAGTCGTTCTTTCCAGGGGCTGATTACAGTGCCTGGAATATCCCGTAGAATCGTGTATTTGTTGAAGTGTAATTAACATGGTTCACTTGAACTGTCTCGAGTCGAGGAACCTATCAACTGAAGAGTTCGCGAGCATCAAGGCCAAGCACAACTCCGCTCAGCAGCATATGTCAGGAACTTAAGCATCATGCATTGGTCTGGCGCTAAGAATGCATTTATCTCCGTAGTCAGGTCATCTGGGGTCTAGACTGTAATTAGTCTGGAGGATCATGGAGTGCTTAGCACTCTATCTAAGCATGAGGGAGTCCGGATGCAAAAGGGATGTAGGGATCAGGTTTGCGGAGCATGGGATAGTTCCTCAATAGGTGGGAGAGTTGAGGGTCACATCAGACACATTGCGAGATCAGGCTGTTACGGTTGGTTTTCTTTCACATCAGAAATAAGAAAGACATTTTGCGACCCCTCCCAAAATAACATGACAGCATACACCAGAGACTGACAGAACAGCTCGGCAAGCCACAACATGTACAAGCCAGCATTTGACACGAGGAAGTTCACCCAATTTGGACATGGCTGTGTTCAAGGTATGAAGCGTGTGAGTCACAGCATGACACGCCTTGGCCCATCTCGGTTTGATGTCGATGTCAAGGTCCGAGATCATGTCGTCACATGCTGAGCTTTCCTCCGAGATCGAGAATGCCATCGCGAAGCCACTGAGTCTTTTCGGGCACTTTCTCTCCCTGGATCCATATTATGGGCTTGTGCTGAAAGCTTCCGGTTACGCATGTTACCGACCTTGGTAGCTCCGAGGGCCCAGGGGTCGACAGTTGGGGCAGGAAGGCCAGGTCATGTGAGTCAGGTGCCATTGAAGTGAGCACAGGCGGAACTTGACGAAGCATGCGCTGGCGGTTGCACAATCGGCAGCACAGTCCGCCGCACCTAGGCAGCACAGAACGGAACCTAATACACATGCAGTTTGAAATAACGGCCGACGAGGTGGCCGTATGTTGTTTGGCAGTGATACTAACGACAGGCCGCCTCACGGGGAACACTTAGCGTGGTCAAACCAAGCGCGCTCAACCCGAAGCCTTTCAGCACTAAGGCTGCGGAGTTGCTCAGGACACAAGCGAACCTGTCCTCGTCGCAGGCTGCCAGGGGAGGGAGATAGACGGAGGCAGTGCTAATCCCAGTTACACAGAGATGAGTCTGCTACTTGTAAGCAAAGGATGCCAATCCTGCATTCCAGCCACCTGGGTGAAAGCTTGTCCACAGGCGGAGGTAGGTGCCGTGGTTTTAAGGTGTTGCGGGTATTACGTGCTGACTTTCTGTATCTGGGAAGGTCTTCCTCCCCTTTCCGACTTGATGTATCATGATGTATCCCCTTGTCATAGGATCTTCCCGGAAGTGTGCGCAACACTTCATCCCAACATGCGAGAGCTAATTCAGTCGTGGAAACGGCAGACGGTGGATCTGAGCTGGTGTTCCTTTAAGCCGCCTGGACTGCTCCCCATAATCCCCTTGCATGCCGTGCCTGGGGCGCAACTTGTATTGCAAAGCTGCGATAAGTCCGTATGCCGCCTTGAAGTCGTTTTTCCTGCAGTGGTGAAGCCGATGTCGAGAGCAAACTGCGAAGAGGTCGCAAGCGTAGACTTTGCGGCTACAGCCCCTCGGCCCCTCGCCTCCCCATCGCGGATTGCACAGTTTTCACTCCCCGGAGCCCGAAAACATTTCGGATGGACTAAAATTCGGTGAAACCTGCCCCTTCCCAGTCCCTTCCCTCATGCCCGGGGGAGAGGGACGGAGAGAGAGAGAGAGAGTAGCCATGACAAATGGGGGGCCCATGAGGCCGGGGGGCTTAACACGCCTTCCAAGCCCTGCTGAGGAAGAGTAGCCATTTTGGCTCAAGTGTGTGCACCTTGGTCGTTGGGGGCCTGTGCCAGCCACGCTCTACCGTCGCCGTTTCAATCAAGCGGCCCCTCTACCTCTTCGGAGGTGGCCCGCCAGTAGGGGGAAAGGGCATACTACATCTTTGTGGAACTCGGGGTGGTCTACCTGGCTTTGGGACACCATGGCAGCCCACCCGGGCATCGTTATCGGCGGCTGGGCTGCTGATCAGGATGCAAGCAGGACATCCTGCACTCCATCTTGTGCTCCGTCGAAGCCCCCATGTCGCTGGACAACTTTTTCGTGCCCGGAGCCCGCTGGGGATACGCCATTCTGCCCATCGACGAACGGCCGCGAGAGCACTGTCGTCAACGAGTCCAACACGTTATCTCGCGAGTTCGAGCTGCAAACGTCCAGTAGGGGCAGCAGCCGGATGAGAGCACCCGTAAAGTCGCAACCTCCAGAACGACGGCGTCGCGCAAGGCTGGCTGCAAAGGTGAAGGGGGATTCGCGCTCTTCTTGCTGCTCTTCTTGCTGTTGTAGTATTTCATGGTTGGCCTGGCTAGCATTCTACGCACGTGTTGTCTTTCCGCACTGCACGGGCACATTCTCCAACTTTTCGCCGAATTTCAACGTCTGAAAGCTGTTGCAACAATGAGACCTTGCGTTTCAATGCAACCTCTGCTGGCGTGTGACCTGATGTGCATATCGCAGAGGAGAGGATGCACAACATGCCCTTCACAGTCAGCCCGCTACTGGGAACTTTGGTATATAGTTTTCCTATGTTTTCCTCCAGTTACAAGATATCATTGCGAGCAATATATTATGTCCAATATGTCGCTGGAGGGGAAATGACATGATTTGGTTCGGTGAAAATCAGAGTTTTTCGGCAACTGTATCTGCAGCTCAGCCACCAGGGGAAAATCCCTAGGAGTCCATAACCTGTGGACCACAGGTGTGTTTTTCGCGTGCGCAAAAGGTGGGGGCTTGCCCTGCCCTTCTTACTTGCGAGAGAGAGAACACAGAGAGAGAGAGAGAGGAGTGAAGCCATGCTGTCAATGGGGAAGTGCTCAGACAGCTCGGCCCAGCGGAGCAAGGTGTCCAGCCTGAAGGGCAGAATGGGGGATGCTGGCTCCTTCTGGCGGAGACCCTCGAATATCTTGCTGCGACCGAAAAGGTGATCCCGTCAGTCATCCCGCCGATACCCTCGCGCAGAATCCGGGGATTTTGAGCTCCAACTTAGCTCGTGAGAAGAGACGACGACGAGCTACGGGGATCATCCTGGAGCTACGCGACCTTCGTGATCAACTTGATGAATTTCCGGGGGGAAGACCTCGGAAGCAGCTCTACAACCTGCCGTACTTGAAGCCCGTGAAATCCCGTGAACCGCCCGCCTTACATGATCAAGGAGTACGTGACGGGGGACCCCTCAGCCAATCTAGGGGAAGCGAGTGGTGGCTTCAAGAAACGCACCCAGGACTTGGACGAACTTCAGATGCCCAACAGAGCGCATAGAAAGTGATGAAGATGACAGCCCAGCCTCGCATAGACGACGACGCATGCTCGCCGCCTTCTACGACCGGCATGGTCCCATAGACTGAGCGGCAGAACTGAGCGCGGGAAAAGCCTTACCTAGGCCGCGCGAACTGTAAACGGGGGAAACGCTACTGCCAATGTTTCTTCCGTGACCTGGTGTCTCTGCTTCGCACTAACCAACCATGCCCCTCAAGGCCTTGTCTCAACCGCAACACACAAAGGGGGAAATGGAGGCTCCGAGCCGGACTGCTTGTTGCTAAGAAACACGATATCCCCTTTAGGGGGTCATATATCTCGCTGTGTCCTTGGTTGCGATGATGGATAATTATGCAAATGAAGCTTCCACACACCTCTTCAACGAAGGAAATGCAGACGTGCTAGTTGTTGGTGATTCATGCTGTTATATATGCGAGGTGGTACTGTCTTCGGCATTCAGCCTCTCATCCTTCGAACACGTGGGGGAATTTTCAAGAGCCTTCTTCGTCTTAGCTATCTAATGAACAAAGTGCCTGACCTCAGAATGTTACGGCACACATGTCATCCCACTCATGGCATCATGTATCGCTGTGTCCTTGCTTCACACAAGAAAGGCAGATACATCAACAGTATATGTCCTAGCTACCAAGCGGGAAACTTATCTGGCCGCAAGCCTTCTGAACACACATGTTATTCCATCTATGGCGATATGCGAATACTGTGTCCTTGTTTTCTACAAGATGAGGCCCTTCCACACAAAACTAGGTAGCAGACCAACCCGTCGCAAAGTTCTCTCGAGCGTGAGCAAAGGAACAACTACCTATAACTACCTTTCCTTTCCGGTTGGTTATGACAGTTTTGACCGTGAGGGGACCTACAACACTTGTAAGGGAACTGTTAATGCGGCACAACGAACAAAACGGAAGCTAGAGGCATAATGTGTTGCTTGCTCACAGATCTTTTTGATTTTGCTCCTTGAATGTAGCCATGAGCTTGCATGCATGTTTCCACGAGAACACACGATCTCACAAATTACGTCATCGCACACTTTGTGGCTTTAGCTTCCGGGGGAACTATGTTCGTTTCTCAGATCCCTCGTCCCGAAAACACTTGGGTGGGCAAAGATGCCTGGGGGCTTTGACCGGCCCTCATGCCCGAGGGCGAGAGCGAGACAGAGAGAGAGAGAGAGAAAAAAAAAGAGAGAACGGTGAAACCCAAACCTGAAGCAAAGGGGGTTTCCCCGGCCGGAGCCTTCACGGAAGCACCGGTCCCACATCACCAACGACACGCTACCGCTACCGTCGGGTCATGTCGGGCTTGTGACCCTGCCAGGCTGATCTTGCAGCGCTGAAACAAAAGCAAGTAGCAGCTGAGACACTGGCTTGCAGCGAGGAGCTTGGAATGCCACTGCAACCACATAGAGCTAGGGAAGGAAAACAGGCTTGGTTGTCCAGCAGGGCAAAAAGCGCAGTGTGATGAGTTGCAGGGCACCCATGCAAATCTCAGGAAAGACCTTCTGAGCGCCTTGGCCGTGAAAGAGAGCTTGAACAAACAGCTGAAGGCAGGGCCTCCCTCTCTGAAGCAAAGCGACGGCTCCAACTTACAGTTTGATCGGAGCAAATACTGAATACTCAGTGTACAGCCGTGTTACACGGTAGTGAGTTTCGAACAGAATGTTCTGCATGAAAGGCATACTAAGCAGTTTCAGCTCAACTCTGTGGTCAGACCTGCAGGAGAACACAACCCGGCTCGGCACGTCTCTCGAGGCTGTTTACGAGGATCCTGAAAAGCACAGTACGATGCTTTCGCGCAGCATGGGGTCCAACACGGCTTTCGTTTGACCGTGGCCTTCATGGACGTGCGTTCGATGAAATTACACGTATGCATTCAAGCATCAGCCCTTCTTGTGGTCCTTGCGAGTTGTGGCCTAAAGCTGTTTCGGCACTGCTGAAAGCTCAAAACAGCAGTGCATCGTGCCTCTGGAGCCAAGGACCTCAAGTACATGCGGAAGCTGTTGGTGGAAGCCCGGCAGGCTCACATACCCCACCGAAGTTGTGTTCTGCTACCGAAAGCTCTAGTCGTTTTTCTCGCATCTCGAGGGCTTTCTTGCATAGTCAGACTGCAAAGCCTTTTGATGCTTTGCACGTGCTTCTGCGGAAATGTTACCATGATGATCAGGCGAACCAGAGCAACTACAAGGACTCCCAGTGGCATTGAGCTCCTAAGTTCTTAGAGACCTTCCAGGCCCTCTAAGGCCTGTCACCAGTCAGGAGCTGGAAGACTTGGAGGGAGACCTCCTTGAGGAGTCAGCGGCCAGAAAGCCCTTGCTGGTGCTGTGGGCAGCGTGCCTTCTTGGCAGTGCTGGGGTCGGGCTAGCGACGAAGCTGCGAGGAGCAGGCCAATCACAACGTCACAAAGTTCGCTTTGGCCCTCGTTGAACGCTCAGTTGCCGGCCGTTGTTTGCAGCCTGGAACCATGGGGCTGCTTCTGTGAGGAGCGCGAAGACCACGACATGACAAAGGAGCTCCGGGCATGCTTGCCAACACGGGTCACAATCTGGCCGTGCTGTCCTTGTCGTTGGCTGCCGCAGCTCCCGCCGTTCACTTTTAAGCGGTCAGTCTGCAATGTCAGCAGTCGCAGACCAGTTTTTTTGAGATGCTTGCACACAAACACGAGCAACCACTAGGAATCACTGCTTTCGCCGCAGGGTTTGTGCCATTTGTGCCTGTATATCGGTTGCAATGAGAGAATTTGTTCCTGTGAACCTGCCTGGCATTGCTCGGTTGCGCAGCCGCCGAAGAACCAAAGTGTGGCGACGTGTCAGGACGAGCTGGAAGAGATGACAGCAGAGCATTCGCAGATACAGTGGCAGCTCCGGTCTGACGCTTGCACGAAGCGAGCCCTGACCAATCCGGACTCCAGAACACTTGTGAAGCTCTCGACTTGTCAGGAAAAGCAGCAGCACCGGGAAACCAAGCAGGACCTTCATGACGAGGAGCTCCTACACCTACAGACACAGGCGAAGTTGGAAGAGGCCACCGACTGAACTCTGAGAGCCTACAAGATGACACAATTCTTCTAAGCCCTTCCTGGAAGTTTGGCAAGCCACCGCCAAATGTCAGTGACGACTGAGTCCGCAAACTATGTTGAGTCCTGGTTTTCTGTGGGTAACGAATGTGTGCCATGCATAGAGTTCCGAAATACTGCCCGTTTGCTGACTCGGAAGTATCTAAAGGCGAGCAAGACTGCCTCCACGATGACCTTGACCTTCGTTCTTGTGACATCTTGTATGTCGCTGCTGCTGGTTGTGCTGGCGGCAGCATTCCTTGCGATCTGGCTGGCAAGGCACACGTAGCAAGACCGGCTTTGAACAATTCAGCTCCCAATGATGGTCATCAAAGATGCACAGAGTAGTAGTCTGATGAAAAGGTGCCTTACAAGTAGTCCGATGAAAAATTCACTTGGAGAGCCCCACATGTGTTTTCATCTTTCGTCCCAGTTTTGGGATTTCCCCAGCTGAGGTGACCTTTTTTCGCAAGCGAGGCGTCGAACGTCTTGCAGTCGTGGCCGACGGCAGTGCAGGTGGCTGTTTGCATCCAGAACGGCTTCGCTTATGTCCGAATGCGACGGCCACAGAACATCATCCTCTGCGTGGAACCTAGGCGACAACAACATCGTGGTAGGCTCCGGCACTTCTGGGTGTTTCCTGTTCATGCGAACTGTCCAGATGTGATTGCCCCGCAGGCCGGCCAGTGGAGCCGGCCTCCAGAGATGCCTGGGTCAAGACGGCCCAAGCGTCAGACATGTTTAAGGTCAAGGCGGCACAATTCAAAGCGATGCTGCACCGTGCAATGCGGGTATGTCGAAACCAAAGTCACAGGCAGGTCACAGGCGACGCCGCTCTTAAGCGCGATCCGTTCATGCTCGACACAGGCCAGAGTCACCCATCATTGGTCCATACATACAGTAGCTGTTGTTAGCAGCATGACATGCACATGTATACACACTGAATCTGGTACCATATAAGTGAAGGTGAGGCCGCCTAAGATACTAAAATATAGCATCATCTAAGACAGAACAATGTCTATACCTGTGTCTATCTGTCTATATTATATATATATATACACATATGTACACATGTACATACTATGTCGTGTAATGTAGTCTATAACTTACTCTAACCACATCGAAAGCGTTACAATATAATGGAGAAGAAGGTAATGCCGTATAAGGTAGTATTCTAGTATTTCGTGGGATGCAATGTAAGATAATGTAGTAGAGCAAAGTTTAATATGATATAGCATAATGTAATATAGTCGAATAGAATGGAACAGAGTATATGCATTACAGTAACATCCACACAGAGAGATGCGCGAGACGCATGAACGCACGCACAGACACACGCACGGACAGACACCCAGACAGACACACATGCATGGCTTAGGTCGAAATCGGCACAAAGCCGGGACCCACTCTGCTGAGCTGCTTGGGGAAGCTCGTTTTGCATTTAACCCCGGATGCTTCCAGCGCGCACGACCACAATGGCCACACGCGTGCGCGCGGACACGCATGCACGCACACACCGTGGTGGCATGCCAGCCGAGGAGCCCGATGAAGCACCCGAAGAGCATCGGTGGGGCAACAAGCGCTTGAGAGACTTCAGCCTCTGAGCTTTTTCTTCCAAGAACGGCTGGGTCATCAATGCCCCCAGAGAATGAATAAGGCTTTGCCACGCTCCGTTGCCATGCCAATTGACAACCTCGGAGCCATCCAGCGGTAGCATGCTGCTCTGGTGGCTTTAGCCATGCTTCCGAATTCAGAACCGTTGCTGCATAGCTGCAATGATGCAGAGCTGGTCGGCCAACAGAGCGACGACCACATGTAAAAATGAATTTTTGATTTACATCCGGGCTCGATGTCACCCATTTGAGCCCGGCTTTAGTAGGACCAGTTTCTGGAACCCCTTCAGTTTCTGCAGCGAAGCGGGAGGGACCATGTCAATGCAAGATGCCGCACCGATGCGCGACCCTCAAACGTATAGGGGCCACGGAGGCTGCTCTTTCGGCCTCTCTCCCTCTCTCTCTCTATCCGTCCCTCTCTCTAAATACATGTATGTATTACACATCTCAATACGTGTATGCGTATATAACGCATGTATACACACACACACGCATTTCGCACCGGACTATATGCAAGGTTTAGCAAGATGCTGGTGTAGAAAGCCTCTGACTCAAAGTCGCTGGCAGCAGAAGGAAGCGCTGGCGACTGGACCTCACGATCGCGCCTACCAAGCCGTCGTCGGAGAACCTCCGGGCATGTACAGCCCAATTCATGGATGCGCTCAGCTCGGTGCCACAGCGGAAAGAGAAGTGCGTTGAGCCGCCAAAGCTTGTGTACGACTGGCACAGACCCTTTATGACGGCGGAAGAGGGCCTTCGCTACATGATGAAGGTCTCCGAATAATCACCCCTGTTTTACATGAAACACCGACGGGACTGTCAAGAAGTGTGGGTTTCGGCTGCCGCTTCGTTGATTTGGAGGGGGATTGATGGGGCCTACGTCTGCTGAATGTTCCATGCCATGCCGTGTTGTGATAATGTTTAGCTCAGTAGCCTGCAGAACCCGGGATGTCGTGGATGATGTGACTGGCTGCGGGCTTTGGTTTGGAAAGTTACTCAAACAGGATGCAGAGTGACACTAGTGTGAACTATAATTTATTATAAGCGTCTAAAGGTGACGGCACCTTTTGCACAAATCCTGCTGGCCCCATGTGGCTCCTGCTTCCATTTGCATCAATCACCTGCCTCGGGCAATCGGGGCGTCAGTCAACAATCGCTCGCAGAAGTCGGAGCAGCTCCGACGCACTTGTCAGCAGGCTTCCCCGAAGTTGTAGATTCTACCAGTAGCATTTTAGCTGTGACTGGCAAAGCATGCAGAGCCCATTGAGCCCAGTGTCAGGCAACACCCCTTCTACGGCAGGCCCCCGAGCCTTGGCGAGTTTGCCTTCTCGCAAAGCTGGAGCTCGGCTGGTCCTGGCGGATTCTGGTGGCGCAGAATGGTGGAAAGAGGCCGGCAAAGGCGAATGGACTCAAGTCCAGAAAGCGAGCGACCCTGATTTGGGAAGTCCCTTCTTCTCAGTGGCCGCGGAGCTCGGAACTGGAGTCGTTGCGGTTGGAGGAGGCGCCGGACGCACAGCCAGCATCTTCGGTCCGAATGGATCCTTGCTGGCCACTCTTCGCGGGCACACCGGTTGGGTTCGTGATTTGCTATTCCACGACGGCCACTTGTTCAGTATCGGGTGCAACTTCATCAAAGTCTGGAGGCGACATGGTGCTGGCATGCGATCGGCTTCGTCTTGGCATCACCTCGGCGACCTTGAGGCCAGCTGTGTGCACATCAGACACATGTGCCGAATGTTACCCTCTTCGAGGTAAGAGGCGATCTCCTTGCACTTGCCGCGCTTGCCTGAGATCTGATCGAGTTCCAGTAGTTCTCCGTGCCAGGATCTGGGCTTGGCCAAGGTGTTCGGCGGGTTTTTGGTCGCAGCTGGAGCCTCCAAGCACCACAACTGGTTCCGACTGCCAGTCAGAGAGCTACGCCCAAAGGACTGGCTCGCCGAAGCGCACCCTTGCAGCAAGCAGTCATGGCGTCACAGAGCCAGAGAAACCGCAGATGAGGCAAGCATCACTTACCGAAAGCGAGAGCCCTCACGCTGGTCGTACGACCGCTTTGGTTTTCGGGGCGGAAAGGCGCTCTGGCCAAAGGGGAAGGGGGGTTGTCAGAAGATTCAGGAGGCAGAGGACTGCGTACTTTGGCCTTGGCTTTTCGAAGTGGCCTTCATTTCGCGGATGCCGCCGTATGTGTGCACTTGTGGCTACCGTATGTTCGCGAGGGGGGGAGGGCTTGACATAAAAGACCAACGGAAAACCGGCCTTGGTTGTCCCAGCAGAACCATGGCAACCCTTGCATATTGGTGCCATGTCGATGCTGGCTAGGAAACCAGTCCTGACGTGCTGTGATTTCCCGTCGCCGAGGCTGTTGTCATGCGGGCACGATGGCCGAGTATGCGCAGAGAGGATGCACAGCGACGACATGCAACTGGATCCAAAGAACCGCGAGTGTCACGAAAGCTGGTTTTGCACTGAGTGAGCAAAGCGTTCCCGTGAAACCATCTCGTTTTCAAGCCATGGCCCTCATCTAGCTGCAAAAGGCAAGAATCTAGCCGCGCGCGATCTGTGAGTTCCGCCAACCCAACTAAGATTCCGTTCCGTATCGTCCGATGAACTTCCGGGTGGCAAGCTTCTTTGTATGGCTCTCCTTGAGAAAGGAAAAGTGGCAGTTGGCAGCGAGGTGCCTCAGCTTAGCTTCGAGAGTCTTCATCCAAATCCGAGAGTAGAATCAGAATCAGCAGAGATTTTGCAGACGAGGAGGGTCTGGTGCACGTTCTGGATGCAGAAAGTCTGCAAGCGACTGGAAGCTTTCGGCCTTTCGCCCCTGGCTCTCCGGTCCATGCGCTTTGCGCCCTCCCTGGAGAGCCTCGGCCTGGCTCTTCCAATCCTCCGAGGGGCTTTCTGGGAATGGGCCCCTGGGCCTCCTCCGAGGCTCGCGTTGCAGCGGTCTCGAGCAGCTTTGCGGGCTTCGCAGTGGCATCACCGACAGAGAATGCAATCGAACTTGTTACAAAAGGCTGCACGGGGAGCTGCTGTGCAGAGCATCTCAATTGCGCGCTTGCCCCCAACCGCCCATGTCGTCGCAAGATGTTCAAAATGAACTAGCACCCAGAACTGTTAGCATGCTTAATTCGCTTCTGACACCCGCTGACACCCACTCCTTTCTCTCCCACGTGCACTGAGCCTGACTTTGCAGCCGCTGCTACAAACAACTTCGCAACGTGTTGCACCTGCTCCCAATGTCAGAGCCAGGGGCCAGTGTAGCTCGCTTGGCATGGTCTCGGGAAGCACAAGGACGCTGCCAATACGTCGATGCTGGCTCCTGGGTCTCTCAGACTGCAGCCGAGCCAAGCTACAACCGGAACACTCGCCAAAAGGTCAAGTTTGACCCCACATGTGCCCAGGCTTTCTGGGCCTACCTGAAGGCCGGAGTGAGGTGGCCTGGAATCTCCGAGTGCCTGCCAACGAGCCATCTGGTCCGTGGCGCTCTGTCTTCAAGGAGCCGTGTGGCGGGGGCGGGGGCATGCGCCTCGAACGTGCCACCAACTGCCAAACTCTGGTCATCCTAGTGACTGCACCTTTGAGACTGCATGGATAGTTACGTGAATGGGTGATGCATAACAAGATGATCGATGGGTGCTTCCGCCCCAAACCCCGACCCACGACTTGACCGGAACGACGAGCCACAAAACCGAAGCACCTCTACGGAGCACATAAGAAACCTAGAATGGTTGTTACATGAGCGCCTTTAAGGCTGTACGCCCAAAACTCGAGAACCCCGCCTGGCAAGTCCAAGTACCCACCGTGAGACGTCTTGCCGGGCGTCGTCGGAAGCCGGAGGGCAGGCAACCCGAAGCAGGAGCCTCGCCAGCCTGAAAACTATCGTCCAAGTCCTGGCTCGTGTCGATCAGTGTTGTGCGAGTCGTGAGAGTCGAAACCTGTCGTGAAGAGAAAGCCCACGTTAACTCCTTACACATTTGTCCCTACCTGGACGTCCGGTAGCCTCCTTGTTTCAGAGAGTGCTGGAAACAGCTTCTTTGGCTTCTGCTTCTGGTATGTTTTTGTGTTTTCCATAACAGTCAGTTTTCCTGTTTTCTCACTTATGTGTATGGGCTGCAGCATGGCAACTCGTGCTCGGCAAGTTGAGGGGCGATGAGGAAGGTTGCTAAAACCTGAGAGGCACAATTGACCCGATAAGGTCAGTATGCTGGCCCAACGAAGCACCTTAAAGCTGCCAAGCTCGCTGGCTTGCCGAAAACGTGTGGCAAAAACCTAAACAGAAACTCAGCAGCTGAACCCAGAACAGTCATATGGGGGAACACGAGAGCTATCGAGAGCTGCATGTTGGCAGCAGGTGTCACGTTTGTTAAAGTGTATGTGTTTGATGTTCTGGTTCGCTTGCCTCCCATAGTTTACAAGACTCACTGATGACTGATGACCCGATCCGGAGGCTGAGGACGCAGGGGCAGACGAACAGAAAAGGATAAAGACGAAGATGTCTCCAGCATCGAGTCATCGATGGGGGCGAGACTCATGCGAGCCCTCGAGTCGCGACTCCGGCCATCAACTCGAAAAGCTTACGACCCTTGTCGGAACGCCGAGACACAGAATCCCTAGGGTCGCAGACTTCACCAGACGTCACCATCCGCACCTTGGTCGCCGATTCTTGACTGCCGAACCATCCGTCAGCAGATCATGCACGAACGCATGCGAAGGCCCTCGCCATATCTGCAAAAGAGCTTCGTGTGTTTTGCTTCATCCTACTCCTATCTCCACGACCGCTCGAAGCCTCATCATCCCAATGTCAAACTTACGCTGTTGGATGCTGTTGCACCGGTGATGCTGTTTGTGACGTTCCCCTGCAGCAGCTGCGAACTCAGTATGCATTAGGAGGCTTTAGACTCTAGAGACGACTTGCACAGGAGCGGGATCCGGCGGTGGAAGGCGCAGTGGGAAAGTGGTTTGTGCATTCGGGGGGGGCAGACCTTTACGTAAAGTACGCAGTCCAAGCCACAATATGGGCTAGTTCCTTTTCGCAAGCGTCTTTCGATGGTACACTGCTTCACCATGCCAGGATCAGATCCCACCATCAGCCGAAGCCTGCATTCGGGAGTTTCCACCCGCCCCGCCAAAGTCAGTGCACTGAGAACATGACTGCTCTTCGTCAGTGCGACCAAAGTTATATAATCATCTCTGTCATCAGCACTCAGCAACGAGACTAGCGTAGCAAGATTGATCGTTGAAAGCACACAAGCCCACTGCTGATCCGAGAGGTTGGCTGAGATCTCCAGCAGATCCCCGCGTGCGTGCATTGCGCCAACACCTGGAGAGCGAGAACTGCATGTCGGGGCTGCCGGAATTCTCACCGTCCAGTGCTGCCGCCTGGCACGAATGACCCAATGACTCAGCACCGCCCGTAGCTTCAGCATGCTTTTAGATCTTTATTTGGCTTGCGTAGGTATCGTCAGGCCAGCAATTCAACAGTTGGCCAGATCTGAGGAGTTCAACGTGTCCCGTGCATTGGAGAGCTTTCAGACCAACGGCTTCGTGGTCCTAGACCATGCACTGTCCAAGCTACAACTTGAAGACCTGCGCAAGGCATGGGGCTTCTTTGTCTAATGTGTCGACTTAGAAGTTGGCAGGTGCACGTTGCAAGTAGCAGCAACATCCTGAGCAGAACCTTCTGTCACTGCGAGCCTTTCACTGTCATGAATTGCAGCGCTGGTTTCCCCTCTGACTAGTCACTAGTCCCTTAACACGACATCAGAAGCTTCACAGTCACAGATTCTCCACCCCATGCGAAGCGATGTGTGTCACTTGCTTTTACCTGTTTAGCAACGCAGCGCTTCGGAAGGGGGGGCCAGCAGATGCGTTCCGAACACACATTGGTCTAGAGGTCGATCAGCTACCGTAGTGCCACCAGTATTTTGATCTACAAGCAGAAGAGAAGGAAAAGAAAAGGAACGAACGGACCAGGCTTGCAGCAACATCATGGACCAGATCTTTGCATCCGATCCTGAAGGAAGTTTCGGTGGAGGAGCGGGGAAGCTGCCACATCGCTGCTCGAATGATCCACGCTTTAGGGTGGAAGTACTGGAAAGTTTGGGCTTTGTGCAAGGATACGAATCGTGGCGCTTTGCAGCAGCACTTGTGCCTGTCAGTATTGCTGTAGTTGACTGTAATGCAGACTACATGAACCGGAAGCTTGGCGCTGGAGCGAGCAGCGGCAGAATCCAAGGACGTTTAAACAAATCAAGTTGAGATCTAAGCTCTAAAGGCTCAAGGGTGAGAATATGCACGATTGGACGAGAAGACAGGCAGGAAAGCCCTGGTCTGCAGGTGGCTTCACCGCCTGACCTCGCACATACAACTCGTTGCTCTGTTTCGAAGGTCCGAGATTCATTCGCAGTCCTTGTCGGTACGACTGGTGTTTGCCCTCTTTGCTCTGGGCATGCGCTTTGTCGGGAAGCACTTGCCGAGAGGTCTGATTGGAAACTTCTTAAAAATTCCAGATTTTCTACCCTGAAGCAGGAATTTGCGAGGCAGGAGCGAGATGCCCAGACCCCAAACGGAAATTGAGAGGTCATATTAAGGCCTTGCGGGAGGAAGCCCGATACCTCAGCTGTTGGCTGCCAGACCGTTAAACCCGAAAACGGCAAATAATTATTCCCCAACAGATCTGAAATTCATCATGTGGTGGATAGAAGAGTAGCAACCAACATTGAACCTGAACTGTCCTGCCGCCCTTTCCAGAGATCGCCGGGGTGGTAAATCCTGAAGCTTGTCATCTCCGAGTACTCATATGTTTTCACAGAGGCCTTGCCCACTTATAACTTATAGTTATAACCCTGAGAGAAGGAGACGTTGGTGTGGGTAAACGCCCCACTCTGAAGGCCACTGCTGGGTCGGAAACCTTCAAGCCCTGTACATAGCATTCACACCCGGGCTTTGCGGCGTGATGGCTCTAAGGTGTTAGTGCCCTTGATGTTCCACTTTCGTTCACACTCATTCAAGCTGTTAGGGCCACTTGTAAGGTGTAGGCAGCTGCGGGACGGCAGATCGAAGGCTTTTGCGCTTCACTTCAGGCGAAAAATTATCTCCGCCTTGACAGCTCAGGTTACAGCTTGGGGGACTCCTCGAGGACCAAGTCCAATTTCCACTTGCAGGCGACCAGCGACAACGCCGCTTTCTGTCCGGTTCTAGTCGGTTGGAGAGTGGGTTCCCGAGCTTCAGGCCACTTGGAGCAAAGGCTTCTTGAGGCCATGTGGGGAGTTACGACATGTAACGACCGAAACGTGAGAAAGGGCCGATCGAAAAGCCCTTCGAGGCCTACGCTTCCCTGGTGGACTTAGAGACCACGACTCCGCTCCTGATGGCTATATTCGGATCGCATGAGTACCTCGCAGCGGGTTGTGGGGGCGATGTTGTTTTGGCTGGCGCAATTGACACTTGGACGTGCACAGGAGGCAGGAAAGAGCACAAAGACAAGTCGTTGCAGTGTGTCACCGTGTGAAATCTTCGAGCGTTCATCCCGAACCCGGATAGCTGTGAGATCACCCAGGAGTACCAAGCTCTGCACCCTGACGCCATTTGGGGCATGCTTGAAAAGCATGTTGCAGACTACGACATACCACCCGCTGTGACGGCACAAGCCTCAAGTTTGCCAAGAACAAGTACCCACAGTGAAGCCAAACAAGGGCTGAAGATTTGGATCATGTTGGCTGAGGTGAATTTCGTGTTGGAAGACCTCACTGCGATCAATGGTCCGATGCGGGTAGTGCCCGGTTCTCATCGCTGGCGGCATCGCCCTCCAACATTGCGCGAGGCTGTTGCACGCGGTCCCGCACGCTAAACAGAAGCCGTGCGAGTCTGGACCCAGCGAATCGCACGATGCAGGAACCTGACTGGATGATGCTGAACACCCTCTGCCCGATAAAAGCAGGACAGGTGGTAGCAGCTAGCAGCATATGGAAACACTAGTGACAATAAGCTTGGGATTCACGACGTGCGGGATTCAACAAGCAACTGTCTCGAAGTCCTCCTGCAGGAGCCGCAATTTTTCGGGACAACCGACTTTGGCACGGTGGCACCCCGAACCTTTCCGACAGGATGCGGGCTCTGCCGAACATGGAGTATTTCCCTCCGGGAGCTCTGCCTTCTTTGGGTTGGTTAGATCGGCACACGATGCCCTGGCAGATCTGGAGGGATCTTTCTCCCCTCGCGCAGTACATTTCACGATACGTTGTGGCCCCGCCTGAAGAGTCCATCCCGTCGGTCAACGAATACTCCCCAGCAGCGATTCTTGAGATCATGCCCTTCCTGCGATAGTGGTATCGAGCCGTCCACACCGAGAAGAAGATGGCGAGAGGCTGCGGGGGCACATTGATCCCAGGCCGAAATCGTGCGGTTGTCGAAAACGCATCAAGGACAGCTGAAAGACGCCGGAAGTGACACGGGGACAGTGGCCCTTCGTCTGGGCAACTGCAAACAAATGCAGAGACTGGAGCTTCACACATCTTCACATCGCGCCAGCTCCCATCATGGCATTTCGTCGCGCCGCATCACGAAACACGGCGAAGGCAAACAATGTCGGCATGCAGAGCCCAGCATTGGGAGTATTCGTTGCACGCTGCCTAGAAGCACTGCGTTTTTGCCGCCGATTCGCAGCTGGGCTCAAGCAGCCCTCGTTTGTAGCTTTATGGTACACCGTATGCTTCCAAAAAGGACATCCTGCGGCAAGTGTCATGCGACTGCAAACACAAGCTCGCAAAGATGCGATTTACAGTAACTTTGCGCGAATGCAAATGCAGGGAGTATTGCCAAGCACACGGGCCCGTAGCACTGAGAAGATCCTAGCAGCTAGCACAGTCTAGCGAGTCTAGTTTTCGGGACAATGGACTCGTAGCCAGCTTCGGCCGACGTGCTTGCAACTCAGTCGATTCCCACAAGAACTGGTCCCGCTTCTCTTTAGTTGGCAAGGGACTCCTGAGCTGAGGTGGGCAGCACGCGATGTCCAAGGCTTGACACCTGACCGCTGCAGCTTGTCGAACCGGTGCGTTGAAAGGCTCTAGGTAATTATCTTGCCTGTCCCAATCACTGCATGAACAAGATGCTTTGAGGCGCTTGTCGTCATCACTAGATGTCCCGGTGACAGTAATCCCGCCTTAGCCAAGCTGCGAATCTGGACTTACCGCTTTTGTGAGGGTGCCTTTCCCGGCGGTTATTCGGAGGGGCATCGCTTGTGCGTGCCAGCGCCTTACTTCAGCCGCCTCTACCCGCCTCTCAACCAAAGCGTACTCGGAGCCTCTCCTCAGGTCAGCGAGCCATGGAAGGCGTGGACAATTCAGCATTCCCTGCCCCATCACGAAAGAGGGTTTGTGTGTTGACAGGGGCTTGAAGAAGACAACCTTGCAGGGGGCATTCGGAGATTTCGGCCGTGACCTGAGCTGGAAGCATTACAGTTGGGCTGATGGCTTTCCAACATATGAGAAGGGAGGTCCCATGTGGGATAGATGCTGTGTTGTTTTTGGTGGAGGGGGACGGGGTTGGGCGATCTACTTTCTTGCCTTTGGTTGGTATTGGCTGGGAAGGGAGGAAGACAGGGGAGTAAGATCGAGAGAAGGAATTTTTGTGTGCCCTCAGATATACTCCTCCGGTTCCCTTCACCTCGCCGCAAAACTTCCGATTTCGAGCGGGGCCCATGCGGCCGGGGAGCCTGTCTTACTCCCCTAAGCCCTGGAGAAGACTAACGAAAGGAAGCCCACAACACAAGAAAGAGAGAAAGCAATACGGAATAGAAAGAGCGAAGGAAAGAAAGAGAGAAGAGCTATAGAAACATAGACAGACGAGAAAAAAGGAGAAAGGGATAATGCTGCTACCATCGTTTGTGCTCATTTCACTCGGTCTACCATTACGGTGTTCACCAGTTTGGTGATAAACACAACGATTACTTTTATTACTGCGATATTGCGGTTCGACAAATGCTACTGTAATGTTCATTAGCATCATCAGCAGCATTATCATGTAAACCACTAATGCTGGTGGACCAAGCTTACATAATTATTGGTAGTACTGCTACTGCTGTGTTGGTCAACAACCTCCTCTCAAACGAGGGCCGGGATGACCTTTTGGGGCACATCAGCCAAACACTGCAGGTGAAACTTCAAAAACGGACAGGCTTGGCAATCCCAAAAGGTGGGGACGTGCAAGCAGATCGAAGACCTTGTGTTATTGGATCGGCACAGTCTTGGAGGTGGTCCACCTCAACCGACCATGAGCCGATAATCTCGCGTTGCTTGTCCGAGTGTGAACGCCGAAACCCAACAGGCTGAGGCGGCAAGCCGCGCAAAAGTTGTGAAACCCAACATGATGGGGATGGCAATTGTTTGGAGCGGACACCTTTAGCCTTTTGGGGCTTAAACCCTACAATAGGAGACCTTTGGCGATTTGCGATCCACAAGCACAACAAGGCATGCGGAGGTGCAAACGACAAACGCTCTACACTTTTTTTGCTTTCTTGGTATGGAACGCGCTTGTGACGGTGCATTCCTCATGCGCTGTGTGCTCGGAGGGTCTGCAGTGTGATGGTAGTGCATATGGAAGTTTCGGAAGTGCAGATCGGACGAGTTGTTCTGCACAATTTGCACCATTGCCTGGCGGCGCCCAACATGAGATCTAGCAACCCACCCAAGCTGAACCCAAGAGACGGGAGCGGCAAACCGGCCCAAGCGCGGTAAAGCAAATGATAAAAGGAATCGGGGACGGGTTGTCTTGGATTGTTCATGGGAAAGAGCTTGATTGAACTTCTGGGATGAGTCAACACTTCAAGTGGGCCCGCTTTTTGTAAACAGAACTGGTGCTGAGGGATGAACCTAACGCAGGGCTAAGGTGCGTAATCCGATACCAGCAAGGGTGTTGGTTCATTTGACGGCAGGACGGTGGTCATGGAAGTCGAGATCCGCTAAGGAGGGTGTAAGAGCTCACCTTCCGAATAGACCAGGCACTCAAACCAATTCCCTCGTAGCTACATGCGGTAGGTTCGTAGCTGGAGGAGCAAACCCTAGGTGGAGTGACTGCATGTTGACTTTCACGATCGACATGCCCTTCACATGCATGGTAGCCCCCAACAAGCTCGTTGCCTGTTTAGCCTCGGAGCATCGCTACACGAGCTTTCCTATTCGTGAAGGATGTAAAGATAAGCCCATCGTGACCTTACAATGGGTCTAACGACTCTCTGGTCCAACATCCCTCTAAACCCATCCGAAGGGCAGGAATTTGGATTCAAGACCAGGCAGGCGACACCATCTTGAACCATCGAGGCATGCGAGTTGCTGGAACTGTCATGAACATTGACAGACCCTACAATCTCCAAGTCAGGTCCGGGAACCGGCCCCAAAGCCCGCACTAGCCTGGTTACTTTGCCTTCACCACATTGACAACTCAAGGGCTTTGTGAGGGATTTGTTCACGGTTTGGTTTCTCTAGGATTTCTCTTTGCTGAAACATCAACCTCCAGAAGCCTTTCCCAGACTGAACCAACTCAGCATCCAGGACTCCCTACGTATGTCACCCTGCAGAAGAGACAAACACGACGTTGTCACGTTTTTGGACGGCCAGAGCGAGAGCAGCTTGGAGTGAAGCCCCAAAACTCCGAGAGCGCACAGAAGAATGCTGTGATGTCAGCTTTCAATGATGATGCTTGCATCCCAATCTGTCTGATAAGGTTGTCGTCTCCCTTGTCTTCAGCCGGATGCTGCTCTCCTTTCTTGTTCCTTTCTCCTCCTAGATCCTTGATGCCTATTGTAGATTAACCCACAACGAAGCAGACAGCACCTTGGTGTACTCACCATGTTTCACCTCCATATGCCATGACTTCTGCACTGCCACGGCTTTCGGTTGCTGACTTCGGTGATGGGTTGGGAATCCTGGAGTTACCCTCTTCACTGAGGTTTGTGCAAGCCGATACATCGCAGCACAAATCCAGCATGTGGCTCGACTGGCGCGCATATGCACAATCCGACTGGCCATGGCGCTCGAAGAAGGAGAGGACGAGGAGGTCGAAGTAAGCACCTTCAGCCGTTTGGGCCACCCGTATGCCCGTATACATGACATCGATCTGCACATGTGTTCAGGTCGGTTTTTGATGTTCAACAAATTTTCTTTAGGTATACAAGCTATACAATCAGCGCAAGTGCAGTCGCAGACCTCGGGCCTCAATGGCTTGCCCTTTGCTGCATGGAATTTATTGAAGGCAGTTCTTTCATGCCTGGAGGGCACGGCTGCATGATTCCTTCTTGAACTAGTAGCTGGATGGGTACATGAAAGTGCATATTTCTGCATGCTTCGTAAAGTTTGAGCTTTGGGAAATTAGAATGTGCGAATTGGTGCTCAAGATACATCTATCTGCATGGATGCTGCGCTTCTGGATAACTGTGGCCAAACTGGCATCAGGGATCTTGCGTTGCTACCCCTGGGCTTGGAATTCAACGAGGCTCCCTTCGGCACGCAGGCGATATCATGCGTGCCAGTACGGTGAAAGCGTGCAAGTCTTCGAGCCTCAGTGGCCTGCCCTTTCCTGCAAGGAATTTAAGTCTGTTTACATATGACAGTCGCAACGGTTCCTGCATGGAGGGCGCGCGACTACAGTTGCGCGTATTGGACGGTACATGTTGATGCATGTTGATGCATGCTTCTTCGAGTCTCTTCCTGAGAATTGGGAATTTGGGAAACTGTATTTTACATGCATATCTGCATGGAAGTTCGAGAATATACGACACCTCTGCATGACTGTCGCTACGACGACATCATGGGATCATGCGTGCCAACAACTTTCTGTCACGTCGGTATCTGCATGACAAGGTATCTCATGATGCTTATTCTGCTTATGGGATCTTGGGGTCGCTTGTTCCTGTTCGAAGGGCTGCCGTTAAGCTGGGCACACCGATATGGTTTGATCATTGTTCCTGGCGTTTTCTGGGATCATGCTACAGTAGCGAGTTGACTTGTATTGCTGCAGACCTCGCCAGGCTTGTCCGAGTCTGAGTCTGAGTGTCGAAAAAGGCACCAGCAGCTTGTTCAGAGGGAGCCGAAATGTTGCAAAAGTGGGGAATTGCAAACGGCCGAGTAGTGGAAAGCCCACCCCTTAAAGACTTAAGTGGAGCAAGGACAGCCAGCGAACCGCGAACCCAACACCTCTAGGACCTAACCTTAAATATAGCAGACCTTTAAGGATAGGGATTTGCGAACCACAAGCCCAAGAAGGCGTGGGGAGAAGCAAGCCACAACCGCTCTACACCTTGTACTTGGGGAATGGCAAACGGCTGTGTAGAG